GAGTGCCTGCTTTGTAAGCACAAAACCCTGAGTTCAAACTCCAATACCACCAAAAAAAAAAAAAAATCTAATTGTGTGTGTGTGTGTGTGTGTGTGTGTGTTTTAATACATACTAAGAACCTAATCTATACCAGGCAGTGGAACACTTAGGTTAAATGTATGAATGGAACAGGGTGATTTTTAAAAATTTTTTATTTTTTTGCTGTACTGGGGTTTGAACGCAGGGCCTTAACCTTGAGCCACTCCACCAGCCCTATTTTTGTGACAGGTATTTCCAAGATAGGGTCTTGCAGAACTGTTTCCCTGGGCTGGCTTCAAATCTCGATCCTGCTCTGCCTACTGAGTAGCTAGGATTATAGGCTGATTTTTAAGATTATCTCATGCTTTTCTTCACCTTTCCCAAGTTTTCTGCATTGAGCATGTACTATTTTGTAGTTAGAAAATACATTTTGTATTAAGACACAAAATGTAAGACAAACTTTAGACTCTATTCCTGCCGTTTTGGACGTTAGGAATCTGGACCCCAAGCCAAGAGAACCAGGGCATTGTCAGGTTCTGAGCTCCCCTTCAACTCTGACATTCTAAGAATTCTGAGAATGGAAAAATGCCGGACTTAGACCAGGAAGGAACAACTTGAAGGCCTTGGATGGAGAAAAGTGAGAGTTTTGATTATACTTGTACCTTCTATTCAGGTCCCAAGAAAACTGGTGACATCAGACAGGGAAAGGGCTAGTTACACTGTCTCAAGTGAATGAGGGACACTCCACATTAAAAGCTCAAGTGTGGAAGAGGACAGTAATCCCATGATCATGAGAACAGAGCACAATGCCTGTGGTGCAGTTGGTGATAGGGTAGGGAGGGAATAGAGCCTACTGTGAGCTCAGTTAGGAGAATCTCCCAACTCTAGAGGAAGAAGGTGGCAAAGCTGAGGAGATAAACTGACGACACCCTGTGCATTCACTTCAGTGCCACTACACTGATGGTGGACTAAATGGTGGCCCCATGCCCTAACCCACAAAACTTGCAAATGTGACCTTATTTGCAAAAAGCATCTTTGAAGATGAAGAATCTTGAGATGAAATCATCTTAGATTATCTCAGTGGGTACTAAATCCAGTGAAAAGTATCACTGAGATAATAAATGTCTCTTATACACAGGGACAAGAGAATATGGCCACTAGAAGGAGGCAGTATTGAAGTTAGGCAGCCAGGAGCCAGGAAGTCACTGGAACCTAGAAGAGGAAAGGAGATTCTTCCCTAGAGCTGTTAGAGCAGCCTGGCCTTGCCAACACCTAGATCTCAGACTTCTGGACTTCAGAACTGTGAGAGAATAAATTTCTGTTGTTTTAGGACGTCTGGTTTATGGTAATGTGTTATAGTGGCCCTAGGAAACTACTAATACAGATGGTACAGGTCAGCTTCAAGGCCCCAAGAAAAGCCCCAACCCTTGGCTGGAAAGAAGGGTTTTTTCCTCTTCCTGCCAGTGAACAGATCCCTTCTCCTCTGCAGCTCTGAGCTAATCAGAAATATATTTTAATAACATGTTCTCAAGTGTATGAAAACATGACCCCAATGACCAAAGACATGGTCTTAAGCAACTATATGATGTCCTATAGGATGTCCTGTACCAGATGGGGAGTATCCCAGTTAGTAAGTTCTGAGTATGCTCTGTCTTGACTCAGGACACAAGAACTCTAGGAGCTAAACCTGTTTTAGGGTTTGGCAGACTCCCAGATGTGAAGGCGTGATCTAGGATCAGAGTCCACATCTCCACCCAGACCACAGAAACGGTCACCAGAGTGACAGCTAATGGGGACACAGAGCATATGAAAGAACATTTGGACAGTTAGTGAGCTATAACTGAGAGACTACTGCACCTCCAGGCAGATCTGTGGTCTGGAAATATCAAGAGAAAGCCCTAGAGAGAGATGGTGGGGAGAGAGGCACACAGAGAGGTGGGAACACGATGAGTTCTGCAAAGTAGATAGAAAGATCCTGGCAGATCTAAAACTGAAAAGAATGAAATGTTCACAATATTTGGAAAGAAGTAAAATGAACAAAATCTGATATTGGTATTGGAAAAAGGTGTCTCGTCAAATAGCTTGCAGACCCCAGTTAGCATGGTGCTCTGTCCACTCTGTTCCTGTAACCTCTCCCATCTCGACTAGACTAGCCTTTACCACATTCTCTCTTGCACAATTCAGATATTAACCTGTGCCTTCCCTGTGTCAGGGTCCACCAAGGTGCTGAAAACACAGGTGACCATCCAGACTGCACACCAGATCAGAATGCCATGGATGGCTTTTAACTTGGCTTTAGGAAGACAACCTGAAGTCGTATGTTTGTGTGTGTTACTGGAGATCAAACTCAGTGCCTTGCACATGCTAAGCAAGCACTCTACCACTGAGCTACACCTCCAGTCCAAGAAAGGCAACCTAGCATCTTTGGCTGACTGCCTCCTAAGATGATCACTTGGAGGGAAGCTCTTATTTAGCTGTCAAGTTTTAGTGTACAAATGATAATCACTCAGACAAAACAGATAATTTGAAGTGCCATAAAAGAAAATGTGATGCCATGCTCCAGTGGTGTGACACACAGGTCAGTGACAATGAACTCCCTGGGGGTTAAGAAAGGCATCTTAGTCAATTTGGTATTTCTCAAGCACCTGACAAGGTGATCTGCAGAGAGAAAATGCACCTTAATGGCTACTGAATAAAATATTGGCTTATCAAATACTGGACCCTGCCCTTATGGAGCTCAAGGTTATTAGAGCAGATAAAATGTCATAAATCATCTTAATATGAGTTAGATGGTGGGCAAGGTTATTACAGAGGGCAGGAAGCTCAGAGGCACCAAAGATCTCTTCTGGAACTGTTGGTAGAGGGTTGGTTAAGAAAGGCTTCCTGGAGGAGTGCCTGTGAGCTGAGTCTTAGAAGAATTTTAGAAGGGATTTAAACAAGGAAGATAGTGAAACAAGTAGGTTCACAAACACTGACCAATCACCCAACAGGACTGAAGCTGGTTGGGGCACTCAAGTGAAGTCCTGAGGCTCCTGCTGTGCTAGGTATTACCCTTTTAGATAAGGATCATAAGGTCTAAAATGTCCTCAGAGAAGAGCTGGATAGTAATGGCACTCTGGAGCTAAGGGCTGTGGCTATGTAACAAGAAGATATAAAGAGTTCAGTGCACTCAATTACAACCACACTGATGCATGCCTACTGAATGGCCTGAGATATGAATATGCAATGGCCTTATTCTCTTGTGATTTGCCAAAGCCATAGGGGCTTCTGTAGAATGAGCTACGGAACAGTAGAAACTGACTATACTCTATTCTAGTCTGCAGGCCTAGAGTTTGGAGGATTGGAAGCAGCTCAATAAATGTTTGCTAAGCAGCAGACTAGGAGCCCCAAGCGCATTCTACCTTATCTTCTTGTACCTGGTCTCCCCCACCAATCCATGCTCGTATTAGTACTCAACACAGGTTTTTTTGTTTTGGGTGGTAATAGAGTTTGAATTTAGGGCCTTGTGCTTGCTAGGCAGGTGCTCTACCGCTTAAGCCACTCTGCTAGACCTTTTTGTGTTGGGTATTTTCGAGATAGGGTCTCTCAAGAACTTTTTGCCTGGGCTGACTTCAAACTGAGTTCCTTCTGATCTCTGCTTTGCCTCCTGAGTAGCTAGGATTATAAGTGTGAGCCACCAGAGCCTGGCTAACACTGTATTCTGAACTGGATTCTGACACACTCTTGCTCAAAATATTTCATGACTCCCCTTTCCCCAGACATTCTCTCCATTGTTTTTGTTTTGTTTTGTTTTTGCCAATTGGGCTGTTACTTCTTTTTCAAGGCCAGGATCAAAGTTTGCCTACTTTTGTATTACCTTCTGAGACAGAATTAATCTCTCTCTCCTAAATATATTATGATAGTATTTGCCCTCACTCAACTGGACTGTGAGCTCTTCAGGTTAGTGACTCTTGTCTTATTTCCATAACTCTAGTCCATAGCCCAGTGCCTGAAATTTAGTAGGTGCTAAATAAATATGGAACGCAAGAGTGAACGGCATTCCAGCAAGTGAGAATTACATTAACAAAAGTGGAAAAAAGTTTGGAGGAAATAATGAATAGTTTGGGGCTGGATGTGTGACTCAGTGGTAGATCACCTGTCTAGCATGCATGAGGCCCTGGGTTTGATCCCCAGCACCACACACACACACACACACACACACACACACACACAGTTTACACAAATGAATAGTTTAGTTTGATTAGAGTATGAAGGAGGAGTAGTAGTAGGAAATCGGATGGAAAGGTCTCTTGGATAAGGTTTTGAAAGGACTTGGAAGTCAGAAGGAGAAAAGGGGCATACTTCAGTAGACAGTGGGGACCAATGAAGGCTTTTGATCAGAGAGTAAAAAGATAAAAATCCACAAATAAATTTTGTTTAACCCATCAGAGCCTCTCTCATGCATATGCTCAGTTTTCCATTCTAATGCTCAGATTTGCCTCCTACCCCTCTACCCATCCACCTACTCACCCTCAAGGTCCCCCAGCAGCTTAGCCTGTCCCTTTACTTGTTCCCTGGCTGTGCCAGAGATGTACACAGGGCTGCTTTTCCTCTCAGCCAGGACACAGGAGTCCCAGCTCCTCTGTCTTTCCCCTTCCCTGCTTGGGGCTGGGAAGCAAGCCAGGATTAGCTGGAACTGGCTGGCAAGCAGCTGGGTGGTGCCAGGGAGCTGGCAGGTACAGTGCCAGTTGGTGCCTTGGTTTTCAAGCTGAGCCTGTGACCCCGATAACCTTCTGCCTGCACACATACCTGCTCTTCACTCCACCCCCCTCCAGGCTTTGGTATGGGGGGGAGCACAGGGCCAGACAGATCCACAGAACTTTGGCTCCATCTCTACAAAAGGGCACTCTGTGAGTCAGCCTGCTCCCCTCAAGGCTTGCTCCTCCCCCACGGGCTCTTGTTTCCGATGCACGTACAGCCCGTACACACCGTGTCCTGGGACACCCCAGTCAGCCGCATGGCTTCCCTGTGCCCTAGCCCCTGGCTCCCTCTGTTAATCCCAGCCCCTACTGTGCAACTCCTGCTGTTAGTTCTGCTCCTAGTGCCTGCCCATCCCCAGGGCCTGTCTTGGATGCAGGGAGATCACTCCTTGGGAGGAGGTTCATCTGGGGAAGAGGATCCACTGAGCGAGGAGGATCTACCCAGTGAAGAGGATCCACCTGGAGAGGCGGAGCCACCTGGCGAGGCAGATCCACCTGAAATTAATTCTAAGTCAGGAGAGGACTCCCTGAAGTTAGAGGATCTACTCACTCCTGAGGCTCCCAGGAATACTCAAGGCCCCCATAGGGATAAAAAAGGTAAGTGATCAGCAGCCTCCAAATCTAGGCTCCTGTAAGGAAGGTTCAAAGTCTCCCTTCCCCACACCCCAGCTCTAACAGAGCCCCTGAAAGGGGCTCCTGCACTACTAGACCCTTCCTCCTTTTCAGAGCAAGGAGACAGATGCAGAGAGTGGAAAAAGGGAGGGCACAAGTGGAAGAATTGGGAAAGAAAGGGAGAGGTTGGAGGAGAAAGAGATGAGGAATGTACAAAGAGAAAAATAGGTGGAGGGGGAAGAGAATGATATGAAGGAAAGGGACAAGGAAAAATTGGAGGAGAGAGTGGGTAACGGAGGAAAGGCAGGGAAAGCATATGGAGATCATCTCATTTTCAGTCTGCAGTAAAGCAAATGAGACTAGGAAGAAAGCATCAGCAGGTTGAGGAAGCCGGATCTTGACTTTCAAGCCAGAAACTTTGGGAAAAGCGTTGGAGACTAGAAAGGGCGGAGGAATGAGTGCGAAAGAGGGATGGATAAGGAGGAAAGGAAAGGTGGTCTGATTTGCACCTGGTGACGGAGGTCTGCAGCTCCTAAGAAAGTTTGCAAACTGCTCTCTCTGGGGCCAAAAGGGCTACTGTGGCCCTGTCGGCTGTACTGTTAGGTTGGCTGCAGTCCACTGTGCTCTGCACCTGGTGCACTTCAGTGTTACCCGTCTGCCACTATCAGACATCTGAGTTTGTGAGTCCCTGTGGATGGGTGGGTTTGTGTGTGTGGCGGGGGGAGGGGGGGGTGAAGTGGGGGGGAGGGCTCATCTGACTCTAGCCACTGGTAAGGGACCTGACTTTAAGACTGGCCTGTTCACCTTCATTTACGCAGGGGGTGACCACATTCACTGGCGCTACGGAGGTGAGACACCCACTCCTGCACAGATCGGAACTGGGAGCCTGGCTTTGTTGGTCTGCCCCGAGTCATCCCCAGTATGGCCCTGGGCGTCCCTCTCGCTGGCCGTTCCCAACCCCGCCCACATCCCAGATTTCGATTTTCCGCTTCGAGCCTCCTGACTCCACCCCTCACTTTGTTCTAGCCGTTCCTGAGCTGGTGATCAGACTCCTTCACTGTATTCTCTCCCCAGGCAGCCCGTCCTGGCCCCAGGTGGCTCCAGCCTGCGCTGGCCGCTTTCAGTCCCCTGTTGACATCCGCCCCGAGCTCACCTCGTTCTGCCGCGCCCTGCCACCCCTGGAACTGCTGGGCTTTGAGCTCCAGCCACGCCCGGAACTCAGCCTGCGCAACAATGGCCACACCTGTGAGGGTCTCGGGGCGGGGCCTCGGGAGACCCTGAGGAACGGGGCGAGGCCAATGGAAGGGGGGTGGCGGTGGTCTGGAGGTACTTGGGGGTTCGGCAGGCCCTCTCAGGCTCACATGCTGTTCTCCATGCAGTGCAGCTGTCTCTGCCACCAGGGCTAACGATGACCCTGGGCCCCGGACAGGAGTACAGGGCCCTGCAGTTGCATCTGCACTGGGGCGGTTCGGATCGCCCAGGCTCCGAGCACACGGTTAATGGCCACCGCTTCCCTGCTGAGGTGAGTGAGGAGCTGCCTCAGTAGGAGCAAAGGGGTGTGGCTAGAGATGTGGTCCCACTCTGATCTTCGTGTCCTCTCCAGATCCACGTGGTTCACCTCAGCACCGCATTCTCCGAGTTTAGGGAGGCCCTGGGGCGCCCAGGAGGCCTGGCAGTGTTGGCAGCCTTCTTGCAGGTACCAGACCTGGAGACCACCATTTCCTGTTTCCTTAGGGGTTGGGTGCATCTTGCTCCCACAACTCAGATCCCATTCCAGCTTTCTCACCTTGGCCTCTAACTGTCATCTTCATTCACTCAGTTCATTCATTCAGCACCCACTGGACCCCTAAAAAGATTTAGAAGAGGTGGGTCCTCGTCTGTAAGGAGCTCACAGTCAGTGCGGGAGGCTGACATGATAGAAGGACACTAAAAAGGGTCACAGAGGAGGTGAAACATGAAGCCTTCGCTAGTGGGAAAGAAAAAGAAATATTCCATTTAGAAAGAACAGTATGTGCAAAGACTCCAAATATGAGGGGTTTAGAGAATGGCAGGGGCAAGGAGGAGTCATTTCTCTACCACTCCTGTGACCCAGGAGTTATTGAGTGACTTCTTTGGACCTGTAATGATCAAGGATCCTTGCGTCATTAGAGGAGGCCAGAAAAGTGCAGCGGTGAGGTACCTGCTAGGCTCACTCTAATGCCAAGCTCACAGCACAAAGTTCAGAGAAGTGCCTTAGAAACAGCTTGTCAGGACCACATGTCAAAAGCCAAATACATGAAGTATTAAAGCGAATGCAGAGGTAACCCAAGTGTAAGGTGGGTTATGGATTTTTGTGTGGGGAGGGGGCGGGAGGGGCTATGGAGTATGTGTGGAGGTAGTGATGAGTGAGACTACAAAAGTTAGCAGGACAGGTCACTGAGGGCAAAGTATCCTAGTAAAGGGCTCTTGCCCCCCACCCCTCCCCTTTCTCTTTCTCCACCTCCTTTGCCACTGAAAACCAGTCCACCAAGCTTGTTAGGCTGCAAAACAAGAGTAATAGATTTTGAGTAATAAGGTTCTGTGTTCCCCCAGCCTTCTCAGAGGTAAAAGAACTATGGGAAACCCACCCACATTAAAGCCCCCTAGATATAGGTATCAGTCTGTCTTGCATTGTCACCCCCCAAGGAGGGCCCAGAAGAAAACGGCGCCTATGAGCAGTTGCTGTCACATTTGGAAGAAATCGCTGATGAAGGTCAGTTTATGGCTTGCCCTTGGGAGCCTCAGATCTGGGGATGGAGATGAGGGTGTTGAGTTGTGAACTGACTCTGGTCTTGATAATAACTGTGAAGCTGCCAAGAGACCAGCACAGGCAAACTGCTGCCCACAGGTTTCATGGTTAAAAATCAAAACCAACAGAAAACAAATTTTGACTAAAAAAAAATAGGATAACCACCAAAACCCCCAAAACAGTGTTTGGGACTTCCGGAGTTGAGAGCAGAGAGCTAAACTTTTTCTGAGAACTGTCGTCATAAGCATCAAATATTTTAAATTAATAAATAATTTTGTTAGAATTCTTCTTTCCTTTTTCAGTCACTCTGGATTATTTTAAACTTCACTGTACTGGACCTTAAGGCTTTTCTTTTTTTTTTTTTTTCTGGTGGTATTAAGGTTTGAACTCACGGTTTCTATTGCTTGAGCCATGACTCCAGCCCTACCTTTAGGTTTTTTGGTTACACTGGAGAGGACAGTGCCTTTGGAGTTCTCGCGTCTGTTTTTTGTATTTGTAAATACTAAATTTATTTATGAGTTACTCAGCCGTGTGTGTGTGTTTGTTACTGGGGATTGAACCCAAAGCCTTGAGCATGGTAGGCAAGCACTCTACCACTGAGCTACATCCTAAGCCCCATTTTTCCTTTTAAATTTCACTTTTTTTGTTGTTGTTTTTTGATGGTACTGGGGTTTGAACTCAGGACTTTGAACTTGCAAAGCATGCACTTGAGCTACACCTGCAGTCCGTTTTGCTCTTTAATTTCACTTTTGGCACACTTTGGTGCTCCAGCATGTTATAATAGCATGCAAGTAAGAGTGAAAGCTCCAGGAGGACTTCAGGATGTTTTCTCACTCTGTGAGGCCTCCTCCAGTTTCCCAAAGCACTCTTTTTGAGTATATCTTGTGCAGGGACCATACATGGTGAAGAAGCGGTCTCAGGGAGTTAAGTTGGCTTCTGAGAAACTCTTCCTGTACTCCAGAGCTTCAAGGGGAAGTAATCTAGAAGAGACTCCCAACACAGATCTTCTCCACAGACTCAGAGATTGGGGTCCCAGGACTGGATGTATCTGCACTGCTGCCCTCTGATCTCAGTCGCTACTTCCGATACGAGGGGTCTCTGACCACACCCCCCTGTGCCCAGGGGGTCATCTGGACTGTGTTCAACCAGACAGTGAAGCTGAGTGCCAAGCAGGTAAGGCTGGGGATGGGGCTGGTATTGACACAGGTTGTGAGGGAAAGGAGTAGGATGAGATGAGGACAGAGCAGAGGCCATGTGACAGATGAGGGGAGATGGAGGGTGGAGCCCTGAGGTGCTGGCTGTGAGGAGGTCTGGGACCCTTTTGTTTCCTTTTATGCCACGCACCCACCTATTCTGTTTATTGACCTCCCTAGCTCCACACCCTCTCCGATTCCCTGTGGGGATCTCGTGACTCTCGGCTGCAGCTGAACTTCCGAGCCACGCAGCCTTTGAATGGGCGAGTGATCGAGGCCTCCTTCCCCACTGCAGTGGATGGCAGCCCTGAGCCAGGTGCAGCTCTGTCTGATGTCCCATATTGCTGCTTCCCCCAGCCCCAGGTCCCTCCTCCTCCCATGTGTCCTCATTTGTGTGTCTGTCACTGGTAGTCGTAGACCTTGGCTCTAATGTCTCCTTTTTCTCTTCAGTCCACTTGAATTCCTGCCTTGCTGCTGGTGAGTCTGTGTCCCTCTTGTTTCTGATGCTGGGGGACATCCCTTGGTATCATTCAGCCCCAGGAGCTAGTCAGGGCCAACTTTGCTCCCTCTCCTGTTCTGCAGAACAGACCTCCAAATCCAAAATGATAGAATAATGTATCATGATTCTGGTGGGGGATTCCCCCATTGTCCCCATGGCTTAATTGATCAGAATGAATCTCCAGAAATCTCCCAGCATGCCCCTCCCCAGCCCCCCTTTTCCCCAGCTGTTAGGAGGAAAATGGTGCTGGTCTTACCCCTTCTCATTTTCCCACCCCATCCATCCCTCAGTTGGCCTATTCTGGAGACTGAAGCTCTGGGGGCTGTCTGAGAACTCAGGACACAGGTGGGGGCATCCAGTGAAGGGGGCTTGAAGGGAGCTGTGTGGACCCATGGCACTGAGGCAGCCCCTCCTCTCTTCCTTCTAGGTGACATCCTGGCCCTGGTTTTTGGCCTCCTCTTTGCTGCTACCAGCATTGCCTTCCTTGTGCAGATGAGAAGGCAGCACAGGTATTTACTGACCCTTCCCCTCAGCACAGTCCCACACCCACTTTGTGGAGTCCAGAACTCCAGACTTCATGCAAATCAGCTTATCCAGGGCCAGTTTTCTGATTTCAGTTTCTTATTATATAGACACAGAAGTGGAACCAAAGAGGGCATTAGCTACAGCCCAGCAGAGATGGCAGAGACTGGAGCCTAGAGGCCCTGAACTGTGAGAATGTGCAGAGAAACCAGCTAGAGGGCTCTGAAGGCATCTGGAAACCTTGTCCTGTCCTGCCCATTACACAGCTCCTTTTTAACCTCCAAATACGTTTTTTCTTCTTTTTTTTTTTTTCTTAAACAACCACAATATAGGATCTTGTAGTAGGAAAGTAAGATTGGACTTAACTCTCAGATTATTAATTTTTTTTGAGACAGTCTCTCTATATAGTCCAGGCTGGCCTGGAACTCACTATGTAGCCAGGCTGGTCTTGAACTCACTATCCTCTTGCCTCAGCCTCCGAAGCGCTGGAATTATAGGGGTGTATCATCACAGCGGATCTCTCAGATTATTTTTAAAATAAACATTTCTAATAAAATATGTGTAATTTGCCTCTGTTCCTCAGATCAGAAGGATAGTGTATTAATTTCCTATTGCTGCTGTAATAAACTACCACAAACTCATTGGTTATTGGATTCTTACAGTTCTAGAAGCCAGAAGTCCAAAACATACTAAAGTCCAGGTGTCAGTGGGACTGGTTCCTTCTGTACTTTCCCCCTTGCCTTTTTCAGATTCTAGAAGCCACCTGCATTCCTTGCTCAGTGCCTCTTCCTCACATTACTCAAATCTCTTGCTTCCATTGTTACATCTCCTATTGCCTTTGACCTTCTTTCCTCCCTTTTGTAAGTTATACATTACAAACAGTTAACCTGGAATAATCTTCCCATCTCAAATCCTTTGCTCAGTCCCAAAGTCCTCTTCCTATGTAAGATAACATTTTCCAGGATTGAAATGTGGACCATTTTGGGGGAGGGGTGTTATTCTCCCTACCACAGATGTTATCCAGAAAGGGGGCAGGTATGACTGGAATTGCTGGAATGGCTGTATGTGTTTGTGTATGTGTTGGGAGGTGGTGTAGGCTGCAGCTGCTAGACTTAAAATCACATTGAGGCTTTTAAGCTTTTAACCTGTTGGAGGAAAAATTGTCTCCTTGCAGTTTTACCTTTATAATGTCTTTCCTGGCCCAGTTGCTTGTTGGAATAGGGCAGCGCCTCAGATGGCAGTTCCCCAGCCCTGTCAGGTTCCTCTGCTTCACACAGCCTGGTCAACCTCCTCTCACTGCACCCAGCACCCCGGCCCCGTAGCTCTCACTGAAAGGAAGGTCCTATTGCCGAGCAAGGACAAAGGCCCTGCTCATTCTAGGGTCCTTCTAATTTTACTGCCAACCAAAGAAAGGCTTAAAGGGCCCTGGGATGCTGGTAACATCAATTTTATTGGGTTGAGGTGGCAACTGTAGCCTAGGTGGGTGTAGAGCCCTCACAGGTTGTTGAGTTCCAGCAGAGTCTGGTCCAGGGTCTGGTGAATCTCCACGTTCTCTTCCTTGGCACTGGCCAAGGTCTCTGTGAGGGGAAGCAACAAGTAAGGAAGGGGTGGGGAAACAGTAGGAAGGAACATGGAGCAGACATGGACAGAGGAAGGTGACACAGACATGGAGTGGTTTAGGAGATATAAGCCTTCAGGAACCTGAAGAGGCAGGGGCAAATGGATGAATTGGTCAAGACAAAGATGCCTCACTCAAGGACTTGGGGGATGAGGAAGCCTCAACTGATTCCCCCCTCCTTTGGAAGGTTTAAGAAAGTTGGAAACAAAAGGAAAAACAAAGACTGAGCCAGGAAACAGGAAAGGGAGGGCAGACAGACAGACAGAATGGAGACAGAAAACAGACCTGCAGCTGCAGTGAAAGCCCCTGTTGCTGATATCCAACACTTTTCCGAACTTCATTCCAGACCCTTCATGACCTTCTTGCCCCTCCCTGCACCTCACTGCCCCATCTCCCTTCCAGTCATCCCATTAGATCCTGGAATCCTAGCTAAGTGTTCTGAGTTCAGTAACAGGCACAGGGGGGTGGGGGGGTGTACATAGTGCTTGATGGGGCCCCACATGCCCACGTGCAGCCGTGAGAGACAGAGCAGCAAACTGGGAGTGCCATGCAGAAGGAGCTTGGTGTGGGCCACAGTGTTTTGTGGGAGGGCTCAGTGCAGGGGGAATGAGTGTTACAAGATTGAGTTTGAGAAGAGTCAGGGTCTCAGGTGTGAATCAATGCCCTGTGGCAGTGATAGAATGCTTTCTGGAGGGCAGGAAAACAGCATGGAGACCAAGTTCAGAATTTATTAAGTAGCAGTGGGTGGGAGGGGGTGGTTGATAGAAGGAGGAAGCCAGTGCCAGAGGAAGCATGGGGTGATGGAGGCTCTCCCTAGGCTGCTCCCGCCTGGCTGTGCAATATTGCCAATTTGTGTTCCTCCTGCCTGTTCCCTCCCCATAGAGAGAGTGGAAAGAGGTAGAGAAGGAACCAAGGTGGCCACAGTGGTGTGGGCTCAGAGGGAGGTGATGTCATTGAGTGCGTTGTCCAGCTCCTCGCTGATGGCCTTGTATTTCATCTTCTGTGCGTAGACTTCATCTGGGGGTCCAAGGAGGGGGACCAGGTGGGAATGTAGGGAGAGGGAATGGAGGGAAGAAGGAAAGGAAGGAGAGGGTGATGGAAAGAAAGAAAAAGAATCAGAGTGAGGTGGACAGAGTGAGAGACAGAGGCAGAGAACAGGCTGGACAGCTGTCAAGGCTCCCTCTTCCCCTTTCTCTACCCCTCACTCTTTTGTCTTTCTCTGTACCACAACTTGGTTCTTCCCCTGAAGTGTCTACCTCTCCAGAAGCCTGCGGGGCAGAGTGCTCTGGACAGGCAGGCATGCTTGCTTAAATGGGACAGGGAGAGTGCTTAACCAGAAAGGTCAAACGTACTAAAGTTGAAGATAAAATCAGTGCTTGCCTGAGAAAGCCAGAAGCAAGAGACATGGGAATTATGGAAGTTAAAAGGTTATCAGAATAAAAAGGAAAGGCAACTGTAGGTATGACATTGTTGATAATGGAAATAGCCACAGGCTAGTAAATATTTGGATGTTTGTTTTTGCCAAGTGTAGCTTAGTGTAGTATCTTCCATTAATGTTGTCATTCAAATCCAGACATTAAGTCAAATAGTTCTCTATTTAATAAAAAGTCTCTGTGAGATGACTGTATCGTGTTATGCTTGGAGATGGCATTTTTTAGATCAATGCTACTCAAAGTATGGTCTGAAGACTAGCAGCATCAGCATTACCAGGGAGCTTGAGAAAATTTCACCTGGCCAAAGTCAGCGATCACTTCTGGGTAGGGGCCAGGAATCTGTGGGGTTTTTTGAACCCAGGGCCTCCCATGCACCTTACCACCGAGCTGCACCCCAGCCCTCAGGAATCTCTGTTTTTAAAACTCTCCAGGTAGTTTTCATGGATGCTAAAGTCTAAGAAGCACTGGAGTTGATGTGCCGTGGCCCAATACAACTCCTTGAATTGTGGATATGGCCCACTTGAGTTTGTAGAGTCCTGGGTGGGCTAACCCTAGTTTATGGGTGGCAAATACAGTGGAATGAGAAGACCAGGGACATACTAATAGTGATGGGGTGTGGATGAGTATCCCTTTTACCTTCCAGGTCATCGATGGTTTTCTCCAACTTTGCCACAGACCTTTCAGCAAACTCTGCTCGGGTCTCAGCCTGGGAATTAAGGTGGAATGGTAAAGACAGGCCCTCCCAGAGAACCTTCCCAAAGCCAACCTTCTCTCCCATTCCCATCCCTTAATTCCCTGCCACAGGCAGTCTCTGGCCAGATGGGTGGCTTGAGCAGAGACTGGGAGCTGGAAGGTCTCTCACCTCCTTTAGCTTCTCCTCCAGCAGTTTGATCTCCTCTTCATACTTGTCCTCTTTGGTGGAATACTTTAAGGGACATAGACGTGCCATCAGCAAACTGCCTCCCTGATCCTTCATCTCTCCAGAGCCCCTAGGCTCTTCCTAACCTTGCCTCCATTGAGCAACCCGCCCTCCCTGCCTGGGCCCTCACCTCCCCGCCCCCCGTAGGACCCCATCCTCACTGCCCCTCTACCCCCTCTACCTTGTCCGCTTGGGCCTCCAGGGATTTCAAGTTGTTGGTAACAATTTTCAGCTCCTCCTCTAGGTCCCCACATTTACTGCAGGGGTGTGTGGCAGGGTGGGGTGTGAGGGCACAGTGAGGCAAGACAGTGGGGATGGCACAGTGGGGGAAGGGTGGAGGAGAGAAGAGAAGAGCCAAGTGGTAAGAGTGACAGCAGACAGAGTTTGGAAGCCCCAGGCCTTCTCAACCCCCTGCAAGTGAGAGAGAGCAGCCTGAGATGCTGAGATGGAGAGGACGGTGAGCTGAGAGAAGGTGCCATTGCCCAGAGAGGTCACTACCTCCTCCTCTGAGGCTATCAGGGACTTGAGGGCCTGGTCCATGGTTCGAAGTTCTTCCTCCAGTTGCCTGGCTCGGCTGGGGGCAGCAGGCATGGGTCAGAGGACAGGACCTGCCCCTGTAGCCCCAGGCATGGGAAACTGCCTGCTCCCACTGTGCAGGGTGCCCCATAGCCACTGGCTCAGGTCAAGTTCCACTGGTCTTCCCAGGGTATCCTCACCTCTCAGCCACCTCAGCTCTCTCTTCTGAGCGCTCCAGCTCTCCTTCAAGGATCACCAGCTTCCTGGCCACCTGGGGGAAGTGGGAGAGAGAAGTAGATGAGTGGTGACAGACTGGGAGTATGGCACTTAGAAGGAAGAAGAAAGTGGGGCAGGGCTGTCACCTCCTCATATTTGCGGTCTGAGTCCTCAGCAATGTGCTTGGCCTCCTTCAGCTGCATCTCCTGCAGCTCCATCTTCTCTTCATCCTTCATGGCCCGGTTTTCGATGACCTTCATTCCTCTGAGAGGCAGAGAGAGGGGTATGTGTGAGGTCAACAGCAGAACAGACTGACTTTCTCTCCCTGTCCCTGACCCACCCCCTAGAGTCCCCAGCCCACCTCTCGCTCTCATCAGCTGCCTTCTCAGCCTCCTCCAGTTTTTGCAAGGCTGTAGCAAGGCGCTCCTGTGCCCGGTCCAACTCCTCCTCTACTAGCTGAATGCGGCGGTTCAGGGAGGCTACATCTGCCTCAGCCTGTGGGTCAGAGGGCAGAGGTCAAAAAGGCTTAGTCCGCCTTGGATGGAGTTCAGACAGACTCCAGAGGATGGTAAGATTCTTCTCAGACTTAGTTTCCCTGGCTTTGACTTTCAACCTGTTTTTTTTTCTCTTAACTATTTTCCGCTCAGACTCTGTGCTCCAGCCTGAAACCTGCATTCCTTGACAAGCTCCACATCCCTGCTGTGGGCTCTGGCACTATGCAAGGCTAGTCTCTCAATGGCTTGTCCCTCTGTCCCCCTTGAGAGCACTTTAAATGCTGACAGCCCTTCCATAGAAGAGCCCTTCCATAGAGGAGTTACAGGAGTGAAGAGGAATCTGGCCAACCAGACTTCACTACTGCAAAAAAAACAGCCAATCACAGAACCAAGCTCAGTGATGTCACCAGCTGCCAGGCAGACTCCCAGCCAGGGTCCCAAAAGGCAAGCCTGGCCTATAAGGGGTATCTGTGGCTCTAGCAAGAGGCAGGAGACAGCTGGGGGCAGTGCAAGTGACAGAAACTCAGCCCCTGTTCTTGCAATATGGAAGCAAAACCTAAAGGTTTTGGAGAAGGGCCATAAAAACTGAGGATACCCTGCGAAAAAGACACAGGACAGAACAAGACAAGCTTCCATAATAGAAAATGAGAGCAACAGTGTGGTTTGGTATTAAGAGCACCAGCTCTGAATCAGACTGTTGTCTTTGAGCCATGGCTCAGCCACTCAACACTTGTTATGTGATCTTGGGCAATTTATTTAACTTTTCTAATCCTCAGTCCTCCTTCAGAAATTGGAGTTAACAATCATAGCTCCTTCTCAGGGCTGTTCTAAGATAATGTAGTGCTTCCAATACTCAATCAACAGGAACATCTGGGAAGCTCATAAAGCCAAACAGACTTTCTAGCTCCATATTAGATCCATTGAATTGAGATCTCTTGCTGGCGGGGGACTTGGAAGTTTTTATTTTTATTTTTTAAAGCTCCCAAGCAATTCTGATGATAAACTAATTTTGGGAAATGGTAAAATAATATTCAGAAAACATGTTCTTGCACAGAGTATCCAATCAATATTAGATGAACCTGTCTCTCCCTCAAAGACAAAGATATAGAGACCCTCCATAGAGATTTAAAAGAGAAAGGACCAGTGTAGGGTAAAGAATAAGTGAAGGGGAGGAGCTGGGTGGCAGTACTGGGGACAGAAGGCATATAAGGCAGGCCCTTGGCACTGCAGGGCAGGACAAACACAAAACCATATAAAGTGGATTAGAGCTCGTAGTCCAGGTGCCTTCAGCACCTGGAGCTTGGCCACCTAGAGTGACAAGAGCCCATTATGGGCACAAGGCCCAATGACTCAGTGTGGAAAGATTCTGGGGACAGCACTGGTTTGGGGGAAGAATGACAGTGGGGGATTACTATAGAGAGATAAGACTCTGAACCAGGAAACTTCTCTTCAGAGTGGTGGGGTAACAAATGACTGCAAAGTTTCGAAAGTTCTGAGGTTCTCATCGAAGGATTGACTTTTGTTATTTCCTGTTCCTCAAGCTTTTCCAAGCTATGGATGCTGGCAGCTCTCTAACCACAGGATAAGTATATTGTCCACACTGAACAAATGAGAAGCAAGAGAGAAAAAGAAACTGAGGCTGTGCTCAAGGTCACACCATAAATTTGGATAGCATTTCCTATCTAGTCCTGGCACTGCTGCCTGCTTCCTCTGCTCTGTCCCTGTCTCCCCTCCCCTTGAGCCCCCACCCAGCTCCTTGGGTTTCCAGTCCTGCCTCCAGCTGCACTGGACCTTGGTTATTTATAGAGTGTCAGATGCCCAGGGTCGTCTTTGCTAGCAGCTGCAGGTCAGTTCCCTCCCATGTGCCAGGACTGGTAGAGAACCAAAACTGGAGCCTGGAGGTCAAAGAAGGAAGCCCAACCTTGGGGGTGGGGGTGTTGAAGATCACAGAATGGTCAACACAAACAGGAATGTCATCTCTGATTTCAGGCCATGAGTTATGCTAATCTCCCCGTACACACTAACCAATAATCATAGGCTCATCTTAAATTTAAAACAAACCTGTGGGAAAGTTAGGGAAACTGAGACAAAGACTGGTAAAAATATCACATAGGTCATTCTCTTATTAAGGTGGGAGTTCGGCATGGCAAGAAGTAGAGAAGTTTGGTTAGGGTTGTGGGCTGGACAGAGAAATCTCAGGGTAAACAGGAGCAGCTAAGGTGGGTGCTTTGGCATTTGTGATCCCGTCCTTCTGCCCTATGGCTTGGCTTGGTCTTGAGGCTGACAGCTTAATGAGGGTAAATGAGGAGTCATTAGAACCTGATCTGGAGCCCCTGGGCACAGTGGGGCTCCTGGAGCCAGAGGTCAAGGCTAGGGAATTTCTAATGGCCCCGTAAGGGTGTAACTCAAGTCAGGGCCCCATCTTTGGATCCCTTGTCCCTCCTTCTGCCCACTAGCACCTCACACTCACATCCCCACCCTCACACCGCCCCCCAAATGTAGCAGTAGTCTCCTCTCCATTTTAAGCAGGAGGATTAACTGAAGTAGATGGCAAATTCTCCCACCCCCACCCCCATGATGACTCACTACTCGATCACTGTACATTCCAAAAGCTGGAACCAGAGGGAATTACAAGGCTAAGTCCTGGGGGGAAGTGGTAGGTGGTTTTGATTTACCCACTGTCTTGGATTATTTGTGTAAACCTGCCCTAGCCAGGGAGAAGGAGAGGAAACCATTTCTGTCCTGGTGCTGTCTAGGTCCCCTTCTCCCCTCATTTCCATGCCTGGGCCCATACCCAGTGCACTAATGCCTCCCAAGTCCCCACTCACATCAGTGGCCTTCTTCTCGGCCTGCTCCAGTTTCTCCTGGGCATCCTTCACTGATTCGGAATACTTTTCCACCTCATCTTCTGTCCCCTTCAGCTTCTTCTGGAGAGCCTGCTGCTCCTCCTCCAGCTGTGGGGAGAGAGGACTTGGTCAGCCAGGCCTGGGTGTGAGCCCAAGCCCAGAAAGAAGGGGTGGTGGTGGGGTACTAGGATATTTGGAGGCTGCTGGGTGGGAAGAATAAAAGGAGGGACAGTGCAGTCAGGGGTGTTGGGGGACGCTTGTGGGGGTAGAGTAAGTGTTAAGCCCCAAAGGCAGGGCCCTGGCACAGCTCAGCAAGAGCGAGAGTGGTAACTAGGGCACTCCCCAGGCTACTGGGGGTGGGGTGGGGTGTGCTCCAGCTAGGGCCCTGAGGGTCCTGTGAAGTCCCAGCCCCCACACTAAGTGGGAAAGAGCCTTGAAAAGCAGGCCCAAGGCTGGGGGCCCAGAGCAGGGGTCCATGCCGCCCTTGACAGAGGGGAAGAGCCACTGTGCTGGATGCGGGGTCCCACCTGCTTGCAGCGGTCCTCAGCTTGCTTCTTGTCGGCTTCAGCCTGCTCGGCTCGGTCGATGGCATTCTCCTTGTCCAGTTTCAGCATCTGCATCTTCTTCTTGATGGCGTCCATGGCTGCGGCGGGGAGCGGGCCGGCCGGTGGGCGGTGAGGATAGGGTGGACCGGGCTAGCTGCGAGGACTAGGCGCACAGATGCCGGCTCAGGAGGACCGAGCACGATTGGGACGTCCCAGTCTCGCGGGCGCCTAAAAGGCGGGGAGGGGCCAGGCGGAGCCCGGGACTAGGACCCTCCCCCATCGCGGCCCAAACCTTGTAGGGACAGAAGCTCTGCCGCACCGGGGGGCGCGGCCGCCCCCTGCGCCCAACCCATGGGGACCGCCCCTTGGGGTCCTCCTCCAGTCCCCTACCCCCACCCCAGCCAGCCGTCGGAAGGGAACGTAGCCCACCTCGCGGGGTAAAATACTGGATTGCGTGGAGTGTGTGGGGGGGGAACCCTTGGGCTGGGGGCTCTGCAGTTCCTCTGAGTGACAGCCGGGCTCAGTGGCAGCTGCGACTGGGGCCCCTGGGGCTATTTCGGGGCGTGAGCTCACGGCAGCTGCCTGGGCGCAGGGACCGAGTTCCCCCCCTCAGCTGCAGCAGCCGCTGCCCTTAATTTAGAAGTTTCCTGTAAATCCCCCCGGATTAAATGTCTCTTGGGAGGCGGATCTCCTCGAGTCTCGAGTGCCTCAGTTTACCCTGAGATCCACACTTCAGGTTTGCGTTACCCACGTGGTGGTGTTAGCAGAATCTCACCGCGGGGCTTGGGGAAACCAAGGCAGGAGGCCTGCTGCCCCCAGGGTGTCCCCTCCCATTCCCAGCCCCCGAAGCCGCTGCCCCTCCTCTACGAGCGCCTGGCGACTGGGGAACCCAGCTCCTCGGCCGCCTGCCCCGCTCCCCTCGTGCCAGCATATTTTCCACGCGGCAGCGACGGGATGGGCAGGCCGAGCTCCCCGCCCCCACTCCCACCGGGATGCGTCCTCCCCGCCCCCTCGGGCTCCGTCTATCCCCCTTCCTTCGCCTCTCTCCCCCGCGCCCTCCCTTCTCTTCTCCCAGCGGGCCAACTTTACGCCGAAATTTCTTTTCTGCCCTTTTTTGGGATGTTTCCCCGTGGGGAGACGGGGCGGAGCGGAGAAGGCAACCGGCGAAGGAAAGCATTAGAGCTGCCAGGCGGCGGGAGCCAGGGGGTGAGAAGCCTCCCGAGGTGCCACCGAGGCTGCAAGGGACAGTTCCCCGAGTGGGGTCCTTGGGTGGGGGAGGCTGGGGCGCGGAGCGCAGGACTTTGCTTTCCTTCTTCCTCTGTGTAGGGCAGAGGAAGTTGAAAGCGCCCCAGAGGGGTGAGGGGAGAAGGACCAGGCGGGGAAAGCCACCAGGGGGCCGTTCGCTCTGCTCCCTTGGCGCAGAGGGGCGGGAGGCTGGGGTTTGCTGGCGGACTGGGGGCCGTGGGAATCAAGGGCAGAGAGTTGTGCTGTGGAGAGCGGGCGCGAAGCGCACTCAGATCTGCGTCGCCTGCCTCCTTGATAGACACGGAACAGACCTAATCCCACCTGCTCTCTATGTGTTCCCCAAGCCACTCGAAAGACAAAGATGCCTCATCCATCCAGTAGCCTAAGCCAGGTCTCGCAGTGGGGATGGGGGTTATCAGGCGCTCCCCATGCCGTTCGCTTCTCACATACACTTACTCCAGGAGACCCTACTTCCCTACGAATTAGGCTCCTCCTCAAAGTAGGCTCTGTGGTGGGCTTGTTCCCCAACTCAACTCATTCATTCACTTAACGACCCCTCAACATTGCTGCCAATTATTTTTTTATGTTAAGGCAAACAGGATCTAAAATCCTCCACAGTCCCTTCTTAGTTCCTTTCTGCTTTGAAGTAAAAAAAAAAAAAAAAAAAAAATCCCCATTTCTTAATATGGTATAGAAGGCCCTTTGTTTGGGCTCCTGCCTACCTCTCTAGCCTCATTTCCTTTCATTCTCAGCCTCACTCCCAACTTTCAGACTTGGGCTTCATGCTACATTCACATTGAGCTACGCACAGGGGCTGGAAATAGCCATACCTTTCTTAACAGCTTCCACATTTTATGCATTCTGTTCCCTCTCCCTAAAATGCCCTTCCCCTAGGTTGATTCCTGGTGGCCTTTAAGACTCAGATCAAGTGTCGGCTTTTCTGGGAAGCTTTCCCTGGCCACTTCCCCTCCTCACCCGCTCCACCTAATAGGTGTTCTTGGTGTAGACTCGTGTGGTTCTCATCCAAGTTCCTGGTATAAATTCTTCTACCTGTTTGTCACCTCCACTGGTCTGTGAGTCCTTCAGAACGGAGACTGCCTAGTACTGCCCCAGACCAGATGAGGTTTTTATATGCTCGGTTCTGGGCATACTAATAAACTAACAAAAGTGTGTGTAGGTCTACAAGAAGTCATGACTCAGTACTGCAGTTCTCAAACTTTTTGGTCTCAGACCCCTTGGATTCTTAAAAATCATGGAAAACCCCAAATAGCTCTTGTTGAAGTGGATTATATGCATCAAAACATGCCACATTAAAATGGAAACTAAGAAAATGTAAAAATATTTATTACTTCATTAACCCCCCCCAAAATAAACCTATTAAACATAGCCATATTTACGTACTGTTTTGCCAGGCACCAGTGGCTCATGTCTATAATCTTAGCTACTCAGGAGGCAGAGATCAGGAGGGTCACAGTTTAAAGCCAGCCTGGGCAAATTGTTCTCGAGACCCTATCTGGAAAAAACCAATCATAAAAACAGAGCTGATGGAGTGGCTCAAGCAGTTAAGAGCGTCTGCCTAGCAGGTGAGACCCTGAGTTCAAACACCAGTGCTGCCAAGAAAACCCCCCCAAAACAACAAAACATACTTTTTACTCCCCCACCTCAAATTAGTGACAGCATGGGATTTTACATTTTTTGCAAATCTCTTTACTATCTGGATTGAGGATGGCTGGATTCGCAAAACCTGCTTCAAAATTCTATCCATTGTAGCATGTTGATTTGATTGAAAAACTGTATATGAAGAAAATTCAGCCTCACACAGGTATGTAGCTGGAAAAATGACATTTTTATAGCTTTTTCAGATAATTGTACTACGCAAAACTTGGACGAACAGTTGTTTCTTTTTTCCTCACATTTGCATTAGTGTACATTAATTCTACAATGTGGGGGGTTTTCACTGTGATGCTTCCATGCATATGTATAATGTACTTTGATCATATTCAGCCCTCTGTACTCTTTCTTATCCCCGCTCCCTCCACAAATGGTGGAACCTGAAATTATATGCTACATTAAAATCCATTGGTCTGTATTGTACCTTGATTGGATTTTTTTTTTTTAACCTATGGGTAATTTTGTAACATGAATTGATCTTTGGAGAATGTTGATTTACTGAGTCAGGTAGATCTTGACACATTTCATTATATTGTACTTCAGTGAAAACTCACATTCCTGGGTTGGCAGAATTGGCTCAAGTGGTAGAGTGCCTGCCTAGCAAGCGTGAGGCTCTAGGTTCAAACCCTAACACAGCAAAAAAACCTAAAACGCATTCCTTAACAGCATGATTGCTTTAAACAGAAAGACTTTTAAGGTTTTTTTGTTTTGCAGCACTGGGGCTTGAACTAGGGTCTTCACCTTGAGCTACTCCAACAACCCTATTTTTGTGAAGGGTTTTTCGAGATAGGGTCTCATGAACTTTTTGCCCAGATTGGCTTTGAATTGAGATCCTCCTGGTCTCTGCCTCCTTAGTAGCTAGGATTACAGGCGTGAGCCACCAGTGCCTGGCTAAGACTATAGTTTTACATTGGGGGACATTGTGAAGCTCATGGTGGCAGATACAAAATTTTTCCAAACTCTGAATTTTTACTTGAAAGGCTGATTTTTTTTTTTTTTTTTGTGGCAGTACTGGGATTTGAATTCAGGGATTCACGTTTGTTAGGCAGGCATTCCACTGCTTGAGCTATGCCCTTAGCTCAGAAAGCTTGAATTGTATAGCTGGCAATAAATGCTATCAGATTTTTCCCTAAAGTGACAGACTTACTGTTCCTTTTTGAGAAAAGCCCTGCTAGATCTGCAAGTCTGAGAAACACAGTTTGTTGGTCAGTCTTTTTTTTTGGAATGTCATGTTCCAAGAAAAAAGAAGCTAGTTTGACTCAAGTTTTTTTTAAAAAAATGGTCTAAGCGCTGTCCTCAGGAAAGCCATCACACTTTGGTAAACAGCAGAAGAGTTTTATGCATACTTCCCAGTACATCTGCCAGATTATTGAAGAGACTTTTTAAGAATACAATGGCTATTAGTACAGTTTAGGACCACTACCTTGATTTGTGCCAAGATAGTTTTTACTCACCAGTATGTTTGCACTGTCAGTACAAATGCTGATATGAAAAAGTAAATAAATATTTTATTATTATGAAAATAATTTTGACCTTTGGACTCCTGAAAGGGTCTTGGGAACCTCCAGAGGACAGAGGGCCACATTTGAAGACCTACTGGTCTAATGGGTCCCATTAAAGTATTACAGTACTCTAAAGGCTCTCCCTTCTGGGGAGTTTCTCCTCAGTTATCAACAGTGAGAGGAACTTGATTGGTCACAGCTCCTGAGGACACAACAGGGAAGTGGCAGCAGAAGTAAGCAGCTGTCCTGGGCTCATAGCTGGAGGAATTAAGTCTGGACTAGCCACTTCTTGGAGAGGCTGTAAAAGGAATTTGATCTCCAAGGTCCTCAACTCACGATGCTATGACATTGAATCTACAGTTCAGGAACCACAGCAGTATGTACTGGAATTGCCAGTCTGTGCGTCAGAGAAGTGATAATACATCTCAATTTTCCAGTGCTTAGCACAGGCATAGCTTAGTAAATATTGAATGAATGAATCAAAGGTGATAGGAGTAATGGTAGGAAGCTGGCACCATCCCTAATAGGTTGCCCTGAAGAGGACAAAGTATTTCCATCCATTTAAACTTACTCCCATGGGGTGGGAATAGTGTTAGGTACCAGAGCAGTAGTAGATGAGTGATGTTTTTGTTCTACTTGGAGGGAGAAGTATTGAGGAAGTGTTGGCTAAAGAATCATGCATAAACTGGATGCCAGTGGCTTACGTCTGTAATCCTAGCTACTCAGGAGGCAGAGATCAGAAGGATTAAAGTTTGAGAACAGCCCAGGAAAATAGTTCAGGAGACCCTATCTCGAAAATAGCAAACACAGGACTGGCAGAGAGGCTCAAGTGGCAGAGCGCTTGCTTAGCAAGTGTGAAGCCCTGAGTTCAAACCCCAGTACCATCAAAAAGAAAATAACAAACACAAAAAAGGGCGTAATGCCCCAAGTTCTAACCCCAGTACCACAAGCACACACACACACACACAAAGTGGCCAGCCCAAGTCTCTTCTAGAGAGTCCATGCAGCGTGGGGCAGAAGGGGGTAAATGCAGAAGAACATGGAAGCACACAGCAACTACCTTCCTGACCACCTCCCTCCACAGGGGAGGGAGATTAGTTCTTCAACTAGAGCAAGACTGCAAAGCTCCTAATTGGTCACTAGGGGAGCTCTAACCCTCTAAATATAAAGTCTCATCTGGGCCAAGCTCTCTGACCTCTTTTTTTTCCAGCACCAAGGAGCACCCCCAACCCACCAACAGCAGTACCACCTGCAGAGCCTCAGGCTGGATGTTTTGCTTGCTAATGCTTTAACCAATTCTGTGGTTACAGTTCTCTTAGGCTCAGATACTTACATTTTATAAGCTTATTACTTTTTTTTTTTTAAGCAAAGGGGCTTCTGAAAATTAAAATTAGGCCATGACTAGATCTGTTCACATACTCTGAGTAGGTATGACGAACAAAGCGTCCTGGTAGCCACAAACAGAAGAATGACATTTGGATAGGCATTAAACATTGGTCAGCGAGGTAGGGACAAATCAGACATAGCTTCCTGGCCTGAATCCTGAATGACCTGAGATCTGGGAACAGGGAGTAGATGGCAGCCTGAGAGAGCAGACTGCTCCAGTCTCCTCCACTCCCACATTGAGCGGGGTCAAACTGGATGACGAACTCAGTCCCATTTTCTCCCACTCCCATGGGAGATCTCGAATCTCCTCATGAAGCCAGGTGGCAATTGTAGGTAGAATCATATTTATTGGAGCATGACCTGTTTGGGGCTTATAACCCTGCAGCCCCATTGGTAGCTGGGGTGGGGGACAGACAGTATCAAAAAAGGATGAGTTGAGCTGATGAGGCTGTAGGGGCTGGCTAGAAGCTGCTGGCAGGGTGGTGTGGGCTGGGGCCCTGATGGGTTCAGATTGATACAGCAGCGTTAATACTCTTGGAGCGTTAATACTCTGGAAGGGCAGGCACTTAGGGGCCCTAGGGCATGAAGGCACTTGGAGTTGGGGAGGTCTCAGGGGATGTGCAGTGGGACTGGGCAGGGCCAGGCCCCAGGTTTGGCAGGCACTTTGGGGAGTGCTGGGGTTGGGCAGGTTGGGCCCTGACAGCCCAGAAGGCTTTGGTAGTGGCAGGCACAGTCTCTGGGCTGGGTCTGAGTTAAACAGAAGCAGCTTCCCTAGTGCTCATCTCGAAGTTCTGAAGGCAGGAACTTGTACTGCTGCTGCCGGATCTGGGCCAGCTTCTTACGTGCCTCCTCCAGTTCCCGTTCCTTCCTAAGCATCTCTTCCTGTGCTGCAATTATCTGAGGGATGGAGGGCCAAAACTCAGATCAGCAAGTATGGCATTGGGGCAAAAGGCGGGTGAGACAGCCTGGGCAATGTGACTTCCCTCCTGACAGTATCCCTCCAAGTGGCTCACCTGGGCAATGCCCCCAACCATCTTCTCCTTCACTACCACTGTCTCATTCTCCTGGTCTTCAAAAGCTGCAGCCTTCTGGGCTGCCTTCACCAGGTTATCCGAGGCTCGTTTTACTGCATTGCCAGCAGCCTATACCCACAGAAAGCATCAAGAGTTGAGAATTCAGGTAGGGTGCCAATTGAGAGTCATTCAACTCTCTCACAGAAATACATGTTGGGGGTGATGGTTTAAAGTACAGCTCAAGAAATAAGATGGGTCTGTTCCTCACCTGAAGCCGTTTCATTGCCTCAGAGTCCTGGTCAGCCTTGACCTTACAGGCCACAAGGAGTTGTGCTGTGGAAGCAGCTACCTGCTTGGCTGAGGAGATGAGCTTCTCCTGGCTGGCATGGCCTTGGACAGCTGCATTAGCTGCCTCACACAGATTGTTGGTAGCTGCAGCCACCATCCGGGCCTAAAGCAGGGACAGTTAAATTAAAATACGCCTTTGGCCCTGATCCATCCCCCTCCAGCCTTCTCATGTCTCCCAAACTCAGAGAGACCTAGTGGGTATTGTACACTCACAGCAGAAATAAGGCCCTGGGACCACTGTCCATCGTCCAGTGCATTAGCTGGAATGGCGCCCACCTGTAGAGGAAGGAGGAGAACCTGCCTAGACCCATTCTCTCCTTACTTCAAAGCTTCTCTGTTAAGGATGTAGCAGGAGAACACAGCTATGGCCCAGTCCCCACTCTTCTGGACATTTAACTACTTACCTTCCCTTGTGCCACCAGTTCCCTCTGGGCAGCTGAGGCAGCCTTTACCAGTGCACTGGTAGCTGCTGCAATGGACTTTGCAGCTTCCAGAATCTGTTCCTCAAAGTTCAAGGACTCATCTGCCTCCTGAAATGAAGAGTCACAGGTTGCAGAGGTGCAGAGGGGACAAAGGTGGGCACGTTCTGTCATTATGATGGTGGGTGGGGAGGGAGCAGGACTGACCTTGGGTTTAGCTCTGGGTTTCAGCTGCTCTAGCTTTTTGGCTGCAGCCTCAATGGCGGCCGCAGCTCCCAGGAGCTCATTCTCTGCAATGACTGTGGGGTCCTCTGGATCTACCCATTCTGTTCCTGGTGTAATGAAAGGAGGAGGAGGCGGTTAAGATACAGCATGGAGGTGAGGACCCCTGTGGAGCTTGGTTACTATTACCAGGCCTTGGCACCCCTAGGGTGGACTGCATCCAGGAAGCAGAGATCACACCATGAGAAGGCTCCCTGTCCCCTCTCTGCCCCTAGTCAACCCTCACCTTTCATAGCCTCAGCAGCCTGGATGAGCTCGGTGACTGAACCAGCCACCCGCTTTGAGTGTCCTGTCAATTGCTGCTTCAGTTCTGGGTTTGGCTTCTGCAGCGTCTGGGGAAGCAAGAGGCAGGGAACGGGAACAAACAGCATCAGATATTGGGTTCGACCCTGATCTCTGAAATAGGGCAGACCACACACCCTCAACCCCCATCCCTAGAGCACTCCACAGCACAGCCTCAAAACACCAAACTCCCATCCAAGTACACTCTGCGTCATGCTGCATACACAGTGAAGAGTGGGGCTGTCACTCACCGGCTGACAAGGAACAAGAAGAATGATGAAATGAGAAGAAGAGAAGAAGAATGCAGAGAAGGAGGTCAGGTGGGAATTAAGGAAACAAGAGAAGATGAAGAGGTGAGTGGTGGGAGAAGCAAAGACAGTAAGAACAATGGGGCCCCAGAGAAAAGGAGACTTGGAAATAAGAATGGATTGGGAAACAGGTGGTAGAGTAGGGAGGGGGTTGGAGAAAAAACTGAGAGCTGGTCTGAGGCTTTTGGAGAGAGGGTGGTGTATTCAGGAAAACTGAGATGAGGAGCAACCCCATGTCCTCCTTACCAGTAGCACATGCTCCAGCAGTTCCAGGTAGCCATTGGCACATTCTCGGCCATAGTGCAGGGCTCGAAGCCGTACATCAGGAGCCACTTCTGGGTGGTAAGCTGCTTCCTGGTCCCAGAGAAACATGTCAGTTTTGGGATTCCAAAGAGCTCCAAACTTCCCAAATCCCCCCAGGTGCACTGCCCCCATGTTCTGCACCAAGGCTACCTTACTATCAGCATTCCTACCTTGCAAGCCCGCAGCATATCTGCGATAGCACGGCGGCTCAGATTGGCTGTGGCAATAACATCTTCCTGGCGACAGGAATTGCCAGCAGCAACAGCTTTGGCTGTTGCCATGGTGATACCTTTGGTCATTCGGATGAAATCTTCTGGGGTAGAGGTCTTGGCAGGGGGCTCTGGGGAACAGAAAACCTGTTGGGACAGAACAAGAAGATTTTACAGTGATTGGGACTGAGACATGCCATACCTTGTACTTGTGTGATTTGGCCTGGGTGTGGTGGTACATGTCTGTAATCCCAGCACTCAGGAGACTGAGACAGGAGGATTGAGAGGTTGAGCCCAGCCTGGACTATATAGAAAGACTTTATCTTAAAAAATCAAAATAACAAATGACAACAAGCATTTCTTGCAGGTCCAGTCCTTGCAGATGCTCACTGCATCTGACACAGTAGATGGCAGCTGATCGTCATTTCTAACGAAAGTGACTGGGCAGGCGTTGTTTGAAATTAAAACAGCCACTTTCGGTTGGAAACATAGCTCAGTGGAAGAGTAAGTGTTTAGCATGTGTGAGGCTCTAAGTTTGATATCCACCACCACAAAAAAGGAAGGAAGGAAGGAGAGATACTGATAAGAGCTGGGGATATATTTATATTTCAGTGGAAGAACACTGCTGCTTAGGACGTGCAAGGCCCTGAGTATGATCTCCAACACAGCCAGAAAAAGGTGGCTTTTGGCTGGATTTTCATTCTTAAATACAGAGAAATATCAGAGGAGTGAGTGACAGAAATGGGTCAAGGAGGTAGGCCTTAAGAGAGAAGGATAACAACATCAAGCAGGAAAGAATCAGGAATGTTCTAGAATATAGGAACGGTGGAGAAAAGGTTGTTGGAGCCTTGAATATCAGACTGAGGTACTTGAAATTTCACATAAGATGTAGAAGTCATAGAAACATTCTGACACATGTGTTGAATCATCATGTTTTATAAAAGTTAAGTTGTAGATTATGTGTGAGATGCTAAGGATACAATGGGGAACAAGGTAGACAATGTCACTGTCCTCATGGACTTCCCGTCTGGTTTTGGATAGAGACAATAAACAGGTAGACTGGACAGCGGTGGGTCACGCCTGTAATCCTAGCTACTCAGGAGGCAGAGATCAGCAGGATCAAAGCCAGCCCTGGGCAAACAGTTCATGAGACCCTATCTCGAAAAAATCTAACACAAAGAATGGCTGGTGGAGTGGTTCAAGGTATAGGCCCTGAGTTCAAGTCCCAGTACCATAAAAAAAATAAATAAATAAAAATAAACAGGTGAACAGGCAGGAAAAACTAAAGACTGGTTGGGCTATGAAACTAACAGCATGCTATGATGAGGAAAAAAAATGAGACCCTATTTCAGAGAAGTCATAGAAGGCCTCTAGGAAGGTGTCATTAAAATTGAAGCCTGAAAAACTGGAAGAGGCTTTTCCCAGTTCAAGAAGCTGGAGAAAAGCAAGTGGAAGGACCTGCAAATGGCAAGACCTTGGCATGTTCTCAACTCACAGAGTTTAGTGGGATGGCAGCACAGAAAGAAGAGTGAGATAGATGAGAGTGAAGTCAGCGCGGACCATCACTAATCGGTGGTTGGCTGGGTTTTTTTTTTTTGGTGTTGTTGCTTTGTTTTGTTTTTTGTCTTTTTTGAGGCAGGGTCTCACTATATAGTCCAGGCTGGCCTTGAATCTGACAAGCTGCCCAGGTTGAAATGGCAATTATCCTACCTCAGCTACTTAAGTTCTGGGATTATAGACATGCACCACTACACCTGGCTCACTAGTGGGTTTTAAGCAGAGAAGTGACATAATCTTATATATATGTACATATATATACACACATATACATATGTACATATATATAAACATACACACACACGCATGCTAGGCAAGTGCTCTCCTCTGAGCTACAGCCCCAGCCGTGACTTATATTTTTAAAAGACAACTCTGGTTACTGTATAAAAAGGATGGGTTGGAGGGGGGAAGTACTGAAGCATGGAGACCAAAAAGAGACTACTGTATGAATCCAGCTCAGAGTGATGATTGTTTGGTGGTAGGAGAGATGGGAAATAGAGACAGTGACATCTATTTGGAGGGAGCCTTAACAAAGCCTACTGATGGGCTTAAATGTGCAGGGGGGTGGGGGAGAAAGAGACTAAAGCTGGGTTTCTGGCATTAGGAACTGAGTTACTCAGAGGTACCATTTACTGGGATAGAGAAGACCATGGAAGGATCAGGTTTGGGAAGCAAAAAATGAAGAATTTCATTTGGACATCTTCAAGTACAGGTGAAAACAGAAGATTAGAAAGGTAAATGTAGGAATTAAGAAAGATGAGTAGGAGAGAGGAAAATGGGAGAAACTGAAAGCAGGGAGACCAGGTAGAAACCTGGTACACAGGCAAAGTGAGGGAAAGCTAAAGAAAGCTTTCAGGGTGCTGACAACAGGCTAGAGAGGAGAGATGACAAGGGAGTGAAGAAGGGGAGCTGGCAGGCTTGGCAATAGCTCATGTGTGGCAAATAAGACAGTGAGGTCAAAGGTGAAGTAGAATCTTCAAAACTGGAGTTTGCAACCACCATTCACAGGAAATGTCACATTAGGCAGAACAACTGGATGAAGACACTGCACCAAACTTTCTGTTTAGTGACATCAAACAGGAAGTTGAGATAAACTCAGAACTGGAAGCTGACTTCTTAGAGAATGAGAATAAAAGTGATTAAACTCATACAAGAAAGGAACAGAGAAAGAAGACTATTTGTACAGTTCTGCAAAGGCCTATACAATTACTAGGGTGAAGGTGATTCAATGAGGGCTACTGAAGAGATGTTGAGAAGCAAGAGAAAAGCCAGTATCAAGGAAGACAAAGCAGAAAGAATTTCAAAAAGAGGCTTATTAATAGAATCAAAACCTATGGAAATGTTTGAAGAGACTACTGAATGTGTCAACTAAGAGGCCTTTGGTGACTAGAGCAAATGGGAGGATGGAAGTAAAAGCAGATAGTCATCAAAAGCTAAGGAGTTAATAGGTGAGTAAGGGAAAGACACGAGTGAGAGAAGAACGTATGCGACTGTATGTATTTCTGTGAATGCTAGTGAGGCATACGTTCCCTCTCCCTGACCCTAATCTGTGATGCCCCAGACTGTGCTTACCGCCAGTTCTTGCCGTATATGTTCTGTGGTTGCCTCCAGGGCCCGTGTGCCTTTGGTGGCCTCATCTTCCACAGCCTTCACTGTCTTGAGCAATGATGTCACATTGGTCACCATCACCTGAGAGCAGCAGAAGAGTGTTAAGGAACAGGAGAAGTACATTAATTGCCCTCTTCCTGATGTTGTTCCTCATTCTCCCCAACCTTTGCAGAGTTCTTGAGCTGCCACACTGCAGGGTCATCCCCAACTTTGCCAGCTGCAGCCTTCGTAGCACTGATAAGGTCACCCAGAGCCTTGGCTACATCCTTCACTGCATTGATCAGCACCACCTGTATGGGAGAGAGGCATCTCTGGTTTGTGGGAGAGATACAGGAAGGTTCTGGCTAGAATGCAGGGTGTTAGGTAGATACCTGGGTCTCAGGGTCCTCGGCTCCCAGGCTAGCTGCACCAAGCTTGACCACGTCAGCAAGGCGGGTAATGGTGGCCACAGAGGACTGGGCAGCCTGTGCCAACTTCTCCTGGCTCCCAGCTGCATTCTGCACCAGGACCTTGGTGTCTTCCACCAGTACTTTTGCAGTCTTCAGAATGCCCTCCCTGGGGAGGGCCCAGCCTAGTTAGCTCTCCTCAGATTTCTCCCCAAAACCCCTCCAACTAGTCCAAGGTTCCCAATCCAGGTTTTCTGCAAATAAGCTAATGATATCCTGCCTCTTCTGGCCCTTGCCCCAAACTGTCTGCCTCCCCCAGGTTAGTTTCCTTCTCACCGGTGATCAGCAAAAGTTTCAGCACCCTCCCGGTTGAGGGTGCCAGCAGTAGCAAACATGATGGTGGTGTCAAGGTCAGCAATGATACCAGACACAGCACTGGCTGCTGTGATGCAGGCCTGGGTGCCACGATTTCCAGCTTGGAGTGCAGCCAGGACATGGGAGACCTGGGATAGGCAAAGTCATATGGTGCCATGTGAGAACAAAGATTGCCCATGTCTGGGAGAAGGCAAAAGGGGAGAGGGCTGGGGAGTCAGTCCTGCAGCCTGTGGAGATCAGCATGGTCACCTTCTCTGAGACTCTCCGGGCACACTCTATGAGCTCCTTCTTTGTGTAGGCATCGCTGGGGCTGCACTGCAGAGCACCTGCCTTGGTGACCAGAGCAGCACAGCCATGGCCCAGCTCCTGTACTCGGTGCTTGATGTGGGCACCTATCTGTGAGCAGAGGGAAAGAGAGATAGATTTTACAAGGAACACTTGGGGCACCTCCAATTATGCTTGGAGAAGTCAACAAGTAGAAACGATGTGTATCATAAACTAATGGAGTTGTGAGAAAAAGTTCCCAGCACACAGACTTTTCTGATCTGTTGTTGTTTAAGCAGTAGGTCACCTCCTGCGCATGGAAAATAATAGCGAAAGCACCAACTAAGCACAGCAAGGAGGAGGAAGAGAAGCACTTTATACATGAGTACATGAATCAGAGGGCCATGGATTACAATTTGGCCTGTGTGGACTTGTAGATTTGGAGGTTGAGGATTAGGTGGGTCCTGCTAAGATCCAGTTACTTGCTTTCTTAGAAAGCCAGGAGCTTAGGGAAGGATGAGCTTTGTGAGTTTGCAACAAGGAAAAGCTAAGAGGGAATACAGACTTGCAGTAGCAGAGAAGTAGCTACAGGCCAAGATAAGGGTCAGCAGAAGCAAGAGAAGCAGAATGTAGTAGTTTCAAGATCCTGAGTTGTCTTCTTTATCTCTGTGAATGAAGACTTTCATCCTTTGTTCCTATACAGATTTCTGCTCACTCTTTATGGAATGGCCCTGAGGGTGTGACAGTCCTTGGGATTTCCTGTGGGGGAGGGTTCAGAAGGCAGAGCTGCCTCCATGTTTACCTCTTCATTTTCAGCAGCCACAGCTGCAGGCTTGGCTTCTGAAGCCAGTCGGCCATAGTCACTGGTCAGTTGGTTGGCGAGAGGGCCCAGCTCCTCAGGGCTGGTGTTTGACTTGGTTACCTAGTGATAATGGAAAAAGTGAAGTTTGACCAAACTCAGCTCTCTAAGGGAGTCCTGTTACAATGTCCCATACTCACCATCTCCTGAACAGTGACCGCAATGGCCTTGGCTGTCCGCACCATGGTTGTCTGGTAATCCACAAAAGAACCTTCTGGCTCACCCATTGGTCCTTCATCTAGCTGAGGGAGGATGGGAAAAGGGGAAAGATTGTCAGGGTCTCTGCCACTGTGCTCAAGACCCCTGGCCCAGGGTAGCCTCCATGTCCACAGGCATCCCATGACTAACCTGGTTGATGGCCTGAGTGATGTTGTCCACCATGCCACCAACAACACCTGCAGCACTGGCTGCCTCATTAAGGGTTGTTGTCAAGTCCTCTACAGCCTCTGTCATCATCTGCACAGCTTCTTCTAGGGCTTCCTGGGTATGCGCTGCTTGCTGTGGGGACATAGTGAATAAGAAGAAGGAAGCCCTGCTATTCCTATTTCTCCCCGCCCTTGACTAGTAGCAGCCTCCACCCTACCTTGGGGTTACCACCAGCCTCCTTGGCAGTGTACAACAACTGAAGGGCAGACTCTGCCAATGTTTTTGTCTGGTCCAGAAGCGCCATCTGCTGTGGGTGGCTCAGGGTCTTGGAAGCAGCACCCACTGCAGCCAGGGTGAGTGGCTCAAAGTACTGAGCCATCTGGGACACCTGAGTTAAGGAATTAGAATGGGAGTCAGGTACCCTCTCTCTCCTCTTACTCTTTGGAACTCCTCACTTTGTCTCCCTAGTACCTTGTGTCCCAGCTGGGAGGCTTCAGCACGGGCAGCACTGGCCAGTGGTTCAATGAGATGGGAGATCTCCTGCACTGCAGTAAGCATCTGAGTATGCAAGGCCTGGGGAGGAAGTGGACATTAGTCCTGATTATGACCTGTAATAGAATAGGATCCTCTAGTGCATAGAACCCCACTTTTTCTTTTTTTTTGGTGGTGGTACTGCGGATGGAATCCCAGTGGATGCTTAGCATACACCCTATCACTGAGCTAACCCACAGCCCCCACTCTTCCTTCCCTACAGAACTCCCTAAGTTCCTAGGCATGTTCCAGCTCTGTAAAGTGCACTCCCTGACCCCCATATTCCTGGAACCTGACATCTCCCTTGCAGGACACCACCTTTATCCTTACCTCTTGAGAGATCCCCTCACGGGGAGCAAGCTGCTGGCTGACTGCAGCAAGGGAAGCCTGGTCTAGGTCCCGCAGACAGCTGTTCAGAGCTGCAATGGCCGTCTCACACTCCAGCTGCCCTGGGGCCTTGTCCCTGCAGGCACATCACAGGTTTTACATTAAGAACATCTAGACTACCTTCCCCTGTCTCTCCTGGAGATATCCTCTACCACCACCCCATCTAACTGCACCTAAGTACCCACCCCCACCTGCCATGTCTGTCCCCAGCCACATAACTTCTTCAGTCCTCAGTACCTCATGCTTGTAATGAGCTTCTTGATGGAGTCTGAGACAGTCCGTGAGTGGCCAGCTAGCACTGACCAGCGTGGGGGGTCCCGGGGATTGACTGCTAGGGCCCGGGCTGTCTGGATTAGTCCCCCAGCACTCTCCAACATTGTCTTAGCAGAAATCACAATGGGCTCCATGGCAGCCCGGCCCTGGGGAGAGGGAAGGCAAGGTGGTAAATCTCACCATGCCCCAGAAGATGAGGTGATAGACTGGCTGGTTGGTTCTCCCTGCTCATTGTCTCACCTCAGGGCTAATCTGGGCAGGAATGCTGGAAAACTCAGGGTTGGATGCAAAGGCACTCAGATTTTCCACGGCCTCCAACAGAGGGGCTGTGGCTGCTCGGCACTGGGCTCGGTTCTCTTCTGTGAAGGCCCCATCTAGTGCCTGGAAGTGGGAGGGAGGCCTTCAGGACTCAAGTCTGTAGGCACAGGCCTCCCTCCAGGGTTCAAAGGATTAGGAGAGACTGGTGATGGTCAGTCTGGATAGGAAAGGGAAGGGCTTGGGTTCAGGCAGAGAGGATCTGACAGAACATCTGGGAAAATGACTAGGAGACTCAAGGGAAAGAAAATGGGATGAGTTAGGGAGATGCTGGGACTCAAACACTGGGAACCTTGATGGTCTTGACAAGATTGGCTGTACTGTTGGCCACCTCCTTGGCTGATTGTACAAACTGGCGCTTGGCAGTAGGATTGGCGGTACGGGCAGAAGCCAGGCGGCAGCTGTTACACAGTGCAGAGGTGTGTTTTGCCACAATGGTGGCTGCAGAGAGCACCTGAGGAGACAAGAGCCATGGAAAAGTCTTAATGAGGAAAATGTACATACCCAAGGGAAAGTGGAAAATAGCTTAGACATGTTTGGAGAAATCGTGAATTTACCACCAACTAGAAGAATGAGGAGAAACATGGTAGGAAGAGATAGTTACCAAAAGAGAAGCTCTGTATGGGTCTCTGTATTCTCCTCTCTCACATGGGCTTCATCTCCCTCTTTCCCCTGGGGTTTGGTTCAACCTTTCCCAGACTTGCCTGATCTCTTGCATTACCTGGGCCTGGGTACAGCCAGGCTCCCCCAAACTCTGACAGGCCATCTGAATTGCCTGGTTTGCACGGGCAAACTGTGTGGGCTCCACCAGCCCTTGTTGTCCAGCTTGGCTGTTGGGGTCAGAGACACCAACCAGATATGCTGCCTAAAGAGAAAAAGGGGAATGATGGTGAGAAATAAAAACTGCAGGTGAGTGGTAGTGGTAGTTTAGAGAACAGGGTTTATTTTTACACAATGAAAAAAGAAAAAACTCTGGTTACAACTATTTTGAAACATCTCAGGAAATTAAAAAAAGTAAAAAAATTAGTTGATTGTAGTGAACACACAGGTGGTTGAGGTAGGAAGCTTCAATTTGAGGACCCTGTCTCAAAAGAAAAAAGAAAAAAGAAAAACAGAGAGAGAGAGAGAGGGAAAGGGAAAAACCACATAAAAAACTTTATTGAACTTCTATTTAAGGGTGTGTGTGTGTGCATGCATGCACACTAGGTCATAGGGTAAAAAGTATACCATACTGTGAATAGCATTAAAAAATGTTTGAAGGCTGGTAGAGTGGCTCAAGTGGTAAGAAGAGCACTTGTTTAGTAAGTGTGAGGCCCTGGGTTCAAACCCTAGTGCCACCAGAAAAAACCCGGAAAAATCTTTGAAAGATACAAACCCACATGCACAGAAGCAAAGTCTCTTTAAAAGACATAGTTCTAGGGCTGGAGGTATGGCTCAAGTGGTAGAGCCTAGCAAGAGTGAGGCCCTGAGATCAAACTTTAATACCACTAGCAGTTAAAAAAACAAAACAAAACAAAAACAAAAACATGGCATAGTTCTAGAACAATGAAGGTTGTTAAGTACTTCCAAGCTTCAGATATTTGAAAGTGGGAAGGGATGGAATAGGTATAATTGTTGCCAACAAATAAACAAATTTTATAATGGGAAGACCATCATAATGTTTGTTTCATCATCATGTTGATTCATACTTCAATCAACACATGGCAGCTTTGTTTTTTCCTCTTTATGCTTTCCAGAAATAAGAAACAAAAACAAGACGCCACAAAAAGCATGGTACCCAGGGAGGTGGGGGGGATTAAGGGAGTAGGATGTTAGGCTTTTAGGGAAAAACTGTCTTAGATGAACTCTCACACCAGTTTTGTTTATTGAGACAGGGTCCCCGCCTCCACCCCAGGCTAGCCTCAAACTCAAATCTACTGCATTAGCCTTCCAAATACTGTGATAACAGGCAGGTACTACCATGTCTGGCAAGACAAATTTGTTTTAAAGATTAATATATTAAAGTAAAATACTCTCAAAAGCTACTAGGGAGTTTTATTCTTGATAATGTAGAAAATGGAAGAATGAGATGGTGACTCAAGTAACTTGAAATTTTGTCACTGGTACTATTTTAATAAAAAAGGCTTCACCTGCGTGGGAAGAGTAGATCAACGGTACAGTGCTTGCCTAGCATGCATGAGGTCTTGAATTGGACATTATAATCATAAACAAAGCTTCAGGGTTCAAAGGTTATAGCAATCAGAATTGGAATTGTGGTGTTCAACAACTGCTGATGGATATCTCCTTCAGGAGGGGGAAACTCAAGAGTCCATAGAGTTGGCTTTACAAAACACAAACTTCTTGATTTGTGTACATGTGAAGGGAGGTGGGGTAGGGAATTAACCTGTGCTGCTGCCTCAGTGAAGCCACAGAGGGCCTTGGAGGCTGTGGCAATGGCCTCTCCAAACTCCGGCAGATTCCCATTCTTGGCATTTTGGGAGATGCCAGTCATGGCCTCACCCAGCACCTGAGGAACAGAGGGTATCACAAGGGTCAGACTGTGTCCTCTGAGGACTAAGGCACCATGGTTAGTTCCACCTTCCTGCCCTATTCCTTCCTGGGCTCCCTGCTACAACTTACCTTTGAATTTTCCATGACACTGTCCAGGCAACCAAAGTAGGACATGTCGTTGATGGGCTGGACTGGGTTCTCTAGGAGTTCTCGGACAGTCTACGTAGGGGAGGGAGAAGTAAGATCCAAGATACCTCCCTCAGACCCAAACCCAGAAGGCCCTCCTCAACCTCAACCCCTGGGGCCTACCTCCAATTCCCGCAAGGCATTGTCACACTCCTTTTGTCCAGGTGCTTGCTGGGTGCACATGGTGATGAGCTGGTTGATGCTATCAGTCACTGCCCTGCAGTGGGACAAAAAGTTGAGTGAATAGATCAGGTCTCTGGCTATTTCTCTTTTGCTTTCCTACTTTTAAGATGGGGACTTCTCATGAAATGCTTCCTCTCACATGTTCCAGGGCTGGGCTTCTCAGTTCCTACTTACCTAGCAGCTGCAGCCAGCTGACTCTTGAGGTTGGGGGCAGCAGGATCTGTGGACAGGGCCTTGGCAGCCAGAAGAAGTTTGCTTGAAGACATGGAGATGCCCTTCAAGTTGGACACAACCTGGGTACGGTCCTCCTGGCTCTGTTAAAGGTGAGAAGGTCACATGTTGTCCTAGCTTTTATTTGTCTCTAAATGGATCTTCTTTCTTAGATACTCAGCAGTGCTAGAGACTGAATAGGGGAGGGAGCCAAGAATAGATCCAGACTGTATGGTCACCAGGGTGTTTCCTATCTAGCCCTTGAAGGGGATCATGCAACCAAACCCCGTTTCATACTGGGGCCTGTCCGGCCATCTCCACGCCAGCTTCCAGGAAGGTGCTGAAATCTTGTCCAAATCGACCGGAGGCGCGAGCCAGGTCCTGAGGGGTTCCCCGGGAGGCCTGCACCAGTTCTGTGGCTGCCTGATTCAGCCCAGCAGCAGCTTCATTCAATCGACTCTGAGCTTCTTGAAATGTCCCAGTGCTAGGAGGAAGCTGCAGGATCAAAGAGGAAGTCAGGGTGAAGAACTGGGAATGACGCAGGAGACAGCTTGGGAAGGATGGACACAAAACCTGGGAGTAATGAAAGGGACAGATCTGGGAAATCAGTGACAAACAAGAAGTCTAGAGGTAGGAAAGGTGGGGTTGGAGTTCTCAGATTCCCCACACGCCCTGATTCTCCTACCGAGTCACTCAGGAGTCTCTTGCTGGCATCTCCAACTGCTCTCAAGGCATTATCTACATCTCTTTGGCCAGGCAGGCAGCTGACACAGCGGTTCAGTGCCTGAGTCACTGCTTTAGCCACCTGAAATGGAGAGGAAAAGTGGTTGCCAAAGTGGGAACAATTTGGGACATTCCCTCCCCCACCAGGACAATAACCAGCTCTTCTGCCTCTAAAAGTGGAGGAGGAGAGGGGCTGTTGTCATTGAACAGGCAGAGGTCAGGTTGGCAAGTGACAGGGATCAAAATTCCCCAAACTTAGTGCTTAGCTAGGCTTGTGCCTCAGTCTAACTGAGACCCTTCTTCCAAAACAGAGAGAAAGACAGCAGAATTGAGTGGAGTTCTCATGAGCACACCAGAGATGTTCTATATGTGCAGATGAGGTTCAGAGTGAGGCCCCTTAGAGCAGGCCTTATGAAGGGATCTACAGAACAGGAGGGCAGTGGCCCCTTCCCAATACCTGACCTGGGCAAGACGCTGCTGGCTCTCAGGGTCCCCTGGATGGCCAGCTGCCTTTTTTGCCTCCTCAATGAGGCTGCTGGCCTTGTCCAGTACATCACTGGCTGTGTCAAGCACAATGGCTTGCACTGCAGGATCTGACGTCAGGGCAGCTACACCCCTAGCGGCCTGGGCCAGTGACCGCAGCCCCCCTGCCACATCCCGAGCTGCAATACCTGGGGAGACCAGGAGAAGAGGGAAGGAAAAAGGCACCTTCATTGGCAGACCTGATCGTGGTGAGTCCACTGACAATCCCCCTCCCTCTCCCAGCTCCTCTTTCTCCACCTCCCTACCATATGCCATGCAGTCCTGGCCTGTTCCCATATACCTGCATAATTCTCATTGCCCTGGGCAACTTCTCCCAGCAGCTGGGCAATGGCAGAGCTCACTGCTTTGGTGCTATTGCCAAGGTCCTGGGCACACTTTTCCATCTACAGATGAAGGGGGTGAGAGGGGACACAGAATTTAGGGTCAGGAGAAGGAAGAAGAGGAAGGGCACTTGAGAAGGTACTTGCAGATACCTGACAGTTTAGCTGAAGGCTCTGGCTAGCTCTATAGCACAGCTGGGAAGGAAGACTTTAGAGTGAGAAGGACATGTTAAGAATACTCACTGGAGGTTAGCCTGGCCCAAACGACCAAAAATCGTATGTTCTCCCTCATATGCGGACATTAGATCAAGGGCAAACACAACAAGAGAACTGGACTTTGATCACATGATAACACAGAGAAACTAAAGCAGATACTTTAAAGCAACTGAGGCCAATAGGAAAAGGGGACCAGGAACTAGAGAAAAGGTTAGATCAAGAAGAATTAACCTATAACACACATGCACAGGAAATCAATTCGAGTCAACTCTGTATAGCTATCCTTATCTCAACTAGCAAAAACCCTTGGTCCTTCCTATTATTGCTTATACTCTCTCTTCAACAAAATTAGAGATAAGGGCAAAATAGTTTCTGCCAGATAGTGAGGAGGTGGGGGGGGGAGGGAGGGGGCGGGGAGAGGGATTAAGGGAGGGGATGGGGGAAGAAGGGAGAAATGACCCAAACATTGTATGCACATATGAATAAAAAAAAAAATACTCACTGGAACAGAGGCATGGTTCAAGTGGTAGAGTGCTTGCCTAGTAAGTGCAAAGCTCTGAGTTCAAGTCCCAATATCACTCACACACACACACACACACACACACACACACGAAAAGAATACTCACTGTCTCCCCAGGTAAGGGCTTAAGTTTGCCATCTTGAGCTGCTGCCTTCACTTCCTGCAAGTCTCTCTCTAGATTCTGTACTACACTCAGTGCAGAATCCATCTCCAAAGGCCCACATGCTTCTTGAGCCTGCAATGATAAGAAGGTGTAGAAAGTATGGCTGTTCTCATGAACACCTCAGATTATAGGTTATAAGCTCAGTTAGAGGTTATTCGGCAAATTCCCCATCATCCCAGGACCCCACCTTCGTCTTCCACTGGCTCCTACCTTCTGGGCAGCGGTACGGAGTTCAGCCAGTGCGGTGCCTAGGTTCTTAGCACACTGACTCAGCTGCATGGCTGATGCTTGATCCTGAATCGTTGGCACTGAGGCCTTTGCAGCTGCCACCATCTTCCCACCTGGCTGTTGGGGCATAGGTGGACAGATGAGGTATGCCATCCCCTCCCTAGGCCTGAGTACAGGGACTGGTCAGGGCATGGTAAACACTGATTCTCAGTATTGGGAAAGAGGCTACAGATGAGGCTACAGATGATCACATTATGGGAGATCCAGGGTCTTTTAGAAAGGTAGAGAAGGTCTGGCCTGACAGGTGAGAGAGGGTGTCTTGCCTGCAGGAAGCTCTGGCTGGCAGCAATGAGGGCAAGTTGAGCACTGGGGCTGTCAGGCTGAGCTTGGCTCCCACGGACGCCCTGCACCAGCAATGGAATCTGCTCTGCCACAGCCTGCAGGTGAAGACTTCATGAGTGCCACCTCCCCACAGACTGGAGGAAAGTCCCCCTCTTCTCACCCTGCTCCCTACCCCCACATGCCTCCTGGAGACTCACCTTGCAGCTCTGCACCAGCAGGGGCTGGGGGCCCGCAGAGGCCTTGGGAGTAGAGGCTGCATGTTGGGCTGCAGCAATGGTCTGTGTAGCTGAGGCTGCAGCCTGCTTGGCTGCATGCTGTGAGGACAGAGCAGTCAGGACAAGTCCAGGCATTTCCAGGCCTAGTCCGTGGCCTGCCTGGCCCATGCTATGCCCCCAAGGAAACATTAATTGACTCTCTCTGCCCATCCCTCCCCGTTCATTCTTCCTACAGCACCCACACTCTCTTGCTCTGAGTGACTTTCCAGTCTTACCTCCAGACGTTGTACCAGCTTTTTCTTGATGGCATTCTGTGCAGCTGCATTGGTGGCCATGCGGAGCCCCTCAGCTGCCTCTCGCAGCCGCTGCTGCTGCTCCTCACTGTCAGGGTGAGCGGCTGCCCCCTGAGAGAGGTGGAGAGACAGTCATCACCCAGCATTGCTGCAGACCCTAAATATGCTCTTCTGACTCCTCCAGACTCAGTTTAAAATTTCCTTGTTTTTCTGAGTTAATTTCTAATTATTTGCACTGAAAGGCAATAATTGTTGAGAGGATTTGCCTTGGGAATGCCAATGGGTAGCTCTATGTGCCTGGATTCCCTCTAGGATGCTGAATCCTCTCTTTAGGTGCAAGGGGTCTTGTTTCTTGTCCCACTCCCTACAGAATACCTTGAATGCTACAAGTGAGTGGAGCAAGTAGGGTCCTTGGGAAAGAGAGGACTTGCTTTAGAGTGGGGGATCTTAGGAATTCCAAGGCAGGGATCTGTTTCTTCCTGCAAACTGAGGAGTCCCAGAGCTCAGGGGGCCTAGGATCTTTGGAGCTTCCTTCTGATGGTCCTTATACCTTTGTGTCTCAGTGTCCTAATGCCTTGTCTTTCTCTGTACTGCTAGAGTACAGACCCTTGGGACTGAAGGCCTATGTCTTCATAGGAGGAGACTAGGAAGGGAAGAATTCCAAGATGGGTGGTGGCAGCAACATAGGGAAAGGGAGGAATAGCAGATCTTGAATGTAAAGTAAGAAAAAAAGATATGGATGCTTGACACAAAAAGTAATCTGGGTGTCAAAATGGCTAGAAGCCTGGGCCATAGTCCACCAGCCAGGAACTCATTTGTTTTCTGAGTGTTCCCTTATTTGTTCTCTTGAATTTTCTCACTTTCCTGGGTCTCCCATCAAATGAGACTGACCATCTGGACCTCTCTAACTTCCCTAGAGGGCCCAGTATAGGGGTCTGCACAGAAGGCTTTATACCTTGGCAGCCTCTACCATCTTGGCTGTGGCATCAGCCAGGATCTTGGCAGCACTCAGGAGCTTTCGAGAGTTCTCCAGATCACTCTCCCCTTCGGCATCAGCCTTGATAGCATTGACCAGGTCTGAGGTGGCTTGGGCCAGGATGCGGGCCTGTCGCACCATCTCCCCTGAGAGTACAGTACACAATCAGGTGAGGAAGCCAGAGACACTGAGAGGACATCAGGGATGGGGACAAAGGGAAGGGCAAGCAGATGGGGTAGATGGGAATTTTAGGGACAGTGAAGAAACTGGTGAAAGTTCTTAAGTGATTTCTCTGAAGATTTTCCCTCTCTGGGTTTAGGATCTTGAAAAGGAACAGATTTCCCAGTGAGTTCTTATGGGAGGGAGGACAGTCTCCAATCAGAATTTTCAGCAGTCTTGGGAAGAAGAGACACTGGGGAAAAGAGGGTGGAATGGGAAGCATTTTTTTTCTTCCTTTTTTTTTTAATTCCTTTTAAGGCTAGCTGTTAATCATACCACTTTCCACATATTTTTCTGTATTCTTTGGTATACTCATTTAATGTTCCAAGGAAGCTAGAGCAGGGCTCACGTTTCTGCTTTATAGATGGGAAAGTGAAGGTTTCCAAGAGAGTAAACAATGAGCCCTATGGTTGCCTGGCTGGGAAAACCACATTGTGCTGAGTCCGTAAGAGTGGAGTGGAAAGGAACATCCAATTGCTTGGGAAATCTTACAGGGGTTTTTGTCTTTCCAGAGGTGGGTGTCCTTACCAGCATCACCCATGGAACTGAAGATATTCTCAGTGACAGTAAGGATGGTGTCAGTGGCCTGGTCATAACGGCCAGCAGGCCCAGCCCCTGTGGCATGGGCTTTCACATGCTGCAGCAGCTCATTCAGGGCCTGGGTGACAGCTGTAGCTGCTGCCCCTACTCCTCGCAACAGCTGTCCATCTTCTGTGGCTGCCTGGGAGGCAGACACACAGCCCTCCACGGCTTTGGCCACTAGTCGTCCAGCCTCTACCAACTGCTCTTGGCAGACAGGTGAACTGATTGTAGGTGCCACGACCTGTGGGAAAACTGAATATCAGAGATGTAGGCAAGAGACAGAAGCTGTAGGTCAGGCATGGTGATTCACATCTATAATTCCAGCTGCCTGAGAGGTAGAGATTGGGAGAACTGAGGTTTGAGGTTATCTTGGGCATAAAATTAGCAAGACCCTCATCTCAACAAACAAGCCAAGTATGGTGGAGCACACCTGGAATCACAACTACTGGGAGGGACGGGTAGGAGAATCGCAGTCTGAGGCAGGCCTAAGGCCAGCCCCAAGCATAAAAGTGTAAAAAATTACCTAAAAAGTAACTTAAAAAGAAAAATGCGCTCAAGTGATAGAACTCTTGCCTAGCAAGTACAAGGCCCGGAGTTCAAACCCCAGTGTAGAAAAAAAACAGATTTAAGTTGTGAGGTGGAGTGTTTGTGGTTTTTCACAACAGTCACTGGGATAATGAGGCCTTGAGAGCAAAGAGATAAAATGAGAGGCTTATGTGTGTATGGCAGTATCAGTCGTAGGCACAGGCTACAGCAGCCTCTGGGCTCACCTTGGTACAGGCTACCAGTTGGGAGGTGGACAGGGCACACTGTGTGGCTGCAGCAATCACTTGGGTCTGAAGACCTGAGTCTTCTGTACGCTGGGCCACACTCTTAGCCTTGAGGACCAGGGCAGCTGCAGCACTTGCCACTGCCTTGGCTAGTTGCATTAGAACCTCCTGTGAGCAAACAGCAGTTAGCATGACCAGAGATCAGGCTTGGGATCCATGGGCACTTCTTAAGAGGCAAAAGCTACTTCATTATTCCCAATGAGTCCAATCAGTGTATGCAGAAGCAACCAGAACCTACCCCAAACCCCTGCTTTGAGCACCAAGCAGGGCAGACCCTCACCAAGGAACAATCCCCCACCAAGAGAAATATAGCCTACACCAAAAGGAGAGATGCATGAGGCGGATACACTCGGACAGTGATGGGGAGGGAGAGGTGGTACTGGCACAATGGAATGAGGAGCTTCTTTTCTCCATTTCTTCTTGGTCTTGGTTTTTAAGTAGTCATCCTGGAGTCTTGGGAGCAAGTCCTACCTAATCCCTATTCCCCAACCTGGCCTGCTCCAGGCCTCCCCATCTCCCATCATGCTCTGCTCCACCAGAAGACTGGGGGAGAGGTGCAGAAGCGAGTGTATGCGGCTCAGAGAGGACCAAGCTGGGAAGGCCCAGGCCAGAGGCCATTACCGTAGGGGAATCGGGGGGAGATCGAGCCCCAGCCCCTCTGGGTGCACATATCTGCATGGGAAATTCAGGATAAAAAGTCAGCTGAGGCAAATGGCATGGTGGGGAAGGGGGAGAGCTGGAGGAACATCATCCTCAGGGTGGCATGGGGGGTTTCAAGATAGCCTTAAGCTGGGGAAAGGGCTATGTTCAGGGAAGACAAGGCTTCATCAATGAGGGCCAAAAGTGAACTAGTAGGTTAAGTTTAGATTTAGGGGTTCTGAATTTTCAACCCCATAAAGAGATCAGAAGTTCCCAGTGTCATCCCTGGAAAAAGAGGTTCAGTTGGTTTGGAGGGTCAATTCACAGAAACAAGGCCTGGATGCTAGAATCAGGATCAAAAGTTACCTCCTTTAGAAGTGGGATTTCTAGGGTTGGGTGAGTCACCAACCTGGAAGTGAGGGTCAGTGTCACTTTCCCCAATTTGCTGCAACAGCTCCCCACTGGCCTGGCCCACGTTCCCAGCTGCTTGTAGCAGGTTCTGACGGGGCTGTGGAGAGTAAACACCTGTCAGAAGCTGCCCACTCTCTGCCCACATGCCCATGGGTCTCATAGGTCTGAGGGCCACACCTTCAGCCTGCAACTAGGAATGTCCCTTCTCCTGACTATCCACCCTTATCTCAACCCCAAAGCCCCTGACCTCAGCACTGGCGGGTTGTGCACTGCGAAGCAGTTCTGACACTGCCCCTGCAAGTCCCTTTGCTGCCTGCAGCAGGGGCCGGCCACTGCCACCTTCATCCTCCAGCAAGGCAGCCAGCAGCTTCACACCACGGGACATCTCCGTCAGGTTGGAGGAGATTGTGGTGACTGCACAGCCCACTGCAGTATAGTCTGTCTCTGCAGGGTCCCCTAAGGGCGGAAGGGGAAGGAAGAACATGAGACAGTGTTGAGGAAGGAGTATCATCACACTCAGTTAGTCACACATGTCCTAAGAGAAATGCACATACAAAAAACTTTCCATAATGAGTCAAGGCACAGTCACACAAAGAGCTAGTCACAAGCATGCTTGTGCACACTCATTCCCCCCACCCCAGGTTGGCTGGAGACTACCTGCTGTCAGGTTCACCACGGAGGCAGTACCAGCTGTGATAGCATCTACCTGGGAGTGGATCTCATGCTTTGATTCATCCATCTTGTTCTTACGCCAGGCCTTAGAGGCCTAAGAGAGGGAGGAAAAACTTTAGGATTTACTTTGGTTTGGTTAGTCCCCACTCTATCCCTTGTGAATACCAGCCTCAGGACCACTGGCCTTTCCTCCATCTCATACTCACAGCATCCTGGCCAAGAGGGGGCAGAGTGTCAAAGTCATCCAGAGTGGCCTGGGCAGCCTGCACAGCTTGCATGCTAGAATTAATGGTTCCGGTGAGGGCCTGCTGGGCTGAAGTCTATAAGATAAGATGACGAGTAACAGGGATTGGAACAGAACATTTAGAGGAAACAGAAGGCAAAAGAGAGCCAGAGGCTAGGGAGAGGAATATAAATAGGAACATGGGAAAAGACTGGTAATTGCTGTTGGGGCCTGGCGGAGGGAGAGAGAAGGGCCTGAGCACCATGGTGGAGGTAGGGGCACTCTTACCAAAGGAGGCATGTGTCCTCGGTGCATTTGGCCACTGGTAATCTGCTGCTGGGCAGGTGGCATGCTGCCCACCTGGAAATTCTCAGGACCAGAGGCTCCAGAGCGCATGATGGCTGGCAGAGCCACAGAGCCATGTTCCACTTTCCCCACCCGGTTATACTGCTGCTGAAGAACTGTTGACCTGGAGATAGGATGGATCATGGAACATGCAGAGGACTCCTCATCACCACCCTACCACCCTGCTCCCAATATATCACCACTCCCGGTTCTGGGATCTGGAGATCTGTGCGATCTCATTAAAGCTTGGCCCTAGTGAAATCATCCTAAAGATCCCCACCCCCACAAGCAGTTCTTGGAATCCAGGCTTGCCTTCCCTATTCCTGAAGGATGGGATCAGCCCAACTCCCTTCCTACTTTTTGGGAGACACCGAGTCCTCCAGCATAGTAGACTCCTCATCTCCCTCCAGGCCAAAGTGGTCCTTGCTTTTTTTCTGTAGGAAGAAAAGTTGGGGCAGTTAAGGGAAAGGCAGCCTATTTTTTTCCACAGTCAGCCATTTTCCAGAACCTGGATCCCATTTCTAGAGGACTGGCATGGGGAAGGGTCAGGAGAGGAGGCAAAGGCTGAGTAGCAATGTTTACCTTCTTAAGGATGATATCAATGTAGCCGGCAATGAGCTGGGCAATCTGCTCCCCCTCAGTTGTCTGTACTGAGTAGTAGCCATCCTGGTAATCTCCAAAGTCCTAGGGTGACAACATAAGGACTCCAGTGAGAAAGCTAGAATCTACCCAGGATGGAAATGGGGAGGAGGGAAGGTTCAAGGCTGAGCTGATTAGGGCTCCTTCCCGTGCCAACAGCCCTCTAAGAAGAAGCCCACCTTCCTTTATTAAACCACCTATTTCTTTATTTTCTTCCTTAGAGGGAATTTATTTTATTTCTGAGGACTGGCCTTTCTGCTACACAGTTTCAAATACAAGTCTTTTATTCTCTCCTTGATGATAAACTTGAGAGGAACATAAACATTTGTTATTAAATGACCATACTTAAATTTTGGCAACAGTATCCAAAATCGAGAACCAGTATTTACTATAATTCCTATTTCCATTGTTGGAGCACTTTGCCAGGATATAAATTTTCAATTCATAATCTCAAAAACATAAAGTCAGAGGAAAAACTGACTGCAAATAGTTGCTACTAAAAGAAGGGAGGCTTAAGCTGGAGGCATGGCTCAAGCAGTAGAGCCCTTGCCTAACAAACATAAAGCCTTAAGTTTAAACCACAGTACTGCCAAAAAAATAATAAATAAACACGAATAACAAAAAACAAACAAACAAGGGATGCCTACTTTTCTTTTTCTTCCTATTACCTTTTTTCCCTCCACACCTCAAGAATTCCTGTGATCTCAGCTTGCTCTGTTGACTTTTTCTTTTTAAAAATTCTTGCAGTGTTGGAAATCAAACCCAGGGCTTCACATATGGTAGACAAGTGCTCTACCACTGAGCTATCCCCAACTCTCAACAGGTATGTCCATCACCTGTTTCATTTAAGCATTACTCACTCTCCAGGAGGGAGTTTCTCCATCTACTCTAACTCTACTTTCCTGTAACAGTTCCAAAGTTCTCCTCTTTTCTGGAATCATGCTCAGTGCACCTGCCCCAAGGGAGGGGGAAAGAGCTTTGTAGCTTCCCCTTCTCAGATAATCCCAAAGCCCTTTCTCATTGGAACCTCTGGACCCACCAGGGTGAAACTCTTGGGAGAGGCAGCCCATCGTTTGATGTTGGTGAGGCTCCACTCCTGGATCACCTCCTTGGTCTTCTCGTCCACACGCATTACACATTCCTTAGTGATGCCCAGTAGCCTGGGTACTAGCTTGTTCTTCCCTTTCATCTTTTCCTGTGAGGCAGAGGTTGGTACTGGCATTATAGGTCAGAGACTGCATGAGAGGTGAATGGTCAAATCAGCTCTAGATAAAAAAGGGTTGATGAGGTAGCCTGGAAGGCTAAACTAGGGTGTCCATAAGCAGGCCCAGGACAAGGTTCAATTAGGGACAAGGGAAAAGCTGGACAGGGAAGGAAGTGGTGGTGTGAGACTGACATAGGAAGGTTTTCACGAGGTCACACCAAGGACTATTGGGATGGAGTACATTATTGATGACAGAGTCAGAGACTTTCAGAGAGACAGGAAAAGGCAAGAATAAGAAATACAGAGGGCAGTGAAAAGAACCCAGAACCCACCTTGACCAAGAAGAAGGAGACGCCATAAGTCTTGAGGGAACGGGCTAGCTTCACATAGCGTACCTTGGCCTCAATCTCACTCATTTGCCCACAATTCTTGTGTGCCTTTGAGTATGAAATGGGGAAAGTTAGTGAACTGTAGGGATAACATCAAAGCTAAGGATTCAAGATGGGATGTTAACTGTAATGAGAGTATTATGGGGACATAGAAAGGTTCAGAAGTGCAAAAGATGAGAAGGAGACCGGTTGGGGGTTGGCCAGGGATATGCAGAAGCAATGACTCAGGGATATGGTTAAGGAACTTGCAGCCATTGTGGAGAAGTGAATAGGGAGTTAGAAGTCCAACGTCAAAGAGCAAGCCTTTTGGGCCAAGTATTAAAAGAGTGGGGATAACGCCTTACATTTCAACAAAGATTATACTTTTACAGTAATTTCAGGTATACTATCCCATCTGTACTCCTATCAATCTTATGCAGGTCAGACACTGTTATCCCACATTACAGGTAAGGAAAATATTGAACTAAATTCCATGGCAAAAGCAGTGATGGAGCTGAGACCAATGCCCAAGTCTTCTGCTTTCTTGGCTTAGGATAGGTGGGAGAACAGCTTAGAGGGTGGAAGCAGGTGAGCATAGACAGGAAGTAGGCGAAGAGTCCACTTAGCCAGTAGGATCAAGCAGCAAAGCTCCCAGGTCATCCCAGACACTTTCCCCTAACCCCATTCACCTGGAAGATCTTACGCTCTCCCTTCTGCTTCACATACTCCTTGGGCAGGAAGTCCTTCAGGCTACACCAGAAAAGGGAGGTCAGCATGTAGTGACAGCATCAGGGGACATGTGAGCCATGATAGGGGTATGAGGAAATGTCTGGACAGTGTCATCTCTGGGGAGAAGGCCCCTGAGGGAACCAGCTCTGCAATGTCTTCCGAAATAGAGGTGACTTAGTAGGAGCCCTTGAATGTGACCTGTCTCTCTCTGTGGGGAAAGGGACTGAGGGAACTTAAACTGGAGGTTCAGTTCCTGAGGAAAGAGGTTCTAGAGCACCATTTCAAGGAGAAAAGAGGATGAAAAGCTCCCTAAAAGGATATCCATGAACTTAGGAAACTGAGAAAGCCACACCGACTCTACGTATTCCAAGACATACTAATGGATGAGACTTGGGAGACTTAAACTTAATGTTTCCTGTGAGGAAAATTATCCTCACAGAGCACTTGTCTAGCAAATGTGAGGCCCTGAATTCAAACCATAGTACCACCAAAAAATAAATAAGTAAATAAAATAAAATTCTTTAGAGAATCTAAGAAAAAAAATTATAGGGGAAGTGGGCAGGGACATAGATATTGGACTACATTCATACTCCAATGGGATCAGTGAAAAGACAAAGGATGACAGCTGCTAAAAGCATGATGACCTGTGTGTCTCAAGCTCTGGGACCTTGGAAAAGGAAACAGGGTGAGAAAACCTGGGATGCAAACAGGCCACAATAGGAACTTCAGGCTATAACAGGGATGTGGGTCACTCACTCGAGGAAGCCAGCCTTGTGCTTCTGCTCATTGTGGGGCCCAAACTGGATCTGGCATTGGAAACCAGCAAATTCACAGGCTTTGTCAAAGGAGACAGGGTGGGAACCATTCAGGATGTCATCTCGTGCCTAGAGAGCACAGGGGAGGAACAAATGTCGTGTGTGCACAAGGATACCCCCTACTGTGCTTCCGCTAGTCCCTTCTCCCCCGACTTGCCTCACCTTAGCCAAGTCCTCTCCATACCTGTACATAAAGAAGGTTCAGCTGTACAGGGTCCCGGGAGTCCACATTCTGGTCTGAGTAGAAGAATTTTCTCCGCAGCAGCAGTGTCTCATGCTCCTCCACTCCCTGTTCCCTCAGTGTCCGGCCATGGTCCAGCCAGTTCACTGGGATACAGAAAGTCCCCTCAGTGCCAGCCCACCATGGCCCCTTTGGCTGTCTTCTGTCTGGATTTTTATTCATTTCCTGTCTTTTCTTGTTAAAATGTAGGTTCCATGAAGATAGAACTTGGTTTTATTACTAATGCACCTCCAGTATGTCAAAACAGTGCCTTTTATAAGCAGGTGCAGAGCAAGGAATCTAAGGAATAGATGCCTGCCCCCTCCCATTTCCAATGCCCTCTTTTTTCTAGTTCTGCTTACACTCATCATCTGTGTGCAATTTCTGCTTTAATTTCTCCATCTTCTTCTCATCTCGTAGCAGTGTCTTGTCCTTTCGTAAGGTCCCTGTTCCTTCATCCTTTTTCTCTTCCATCAGCTCTCGAACCAGCGAATATTCATCATGGTTTGTGATTCCTGGAGGAGAGAGATGATTTGGTAGCTTCCAGGGTATCACATCCAAATCTTTTAGCAGAGTTGGAGCCTCAGCCCTACCAAGATCCCTTACCAATGCGGGCACAGATGGTCATAAGCATGTCAGTGACAGTCTTAGAATCATCCACCATGATAGTCTTCACAGTTCCATCTAGCATTCGGATCTTCAGGGGTCTCTGTTTCTTCCTGTACTCCATGGTATCCTGTTGGGGCAGGAAAAGGAGGTCAGCACCTACTTTAAGCTAGGGGCATGGCTTCCTTATTATAAAACCAAAGGGGAGGAAAGTGGATTACTGAAAGGAAGACTATGGTTATTCATTCAAGCAGGGTATTATGACTGCTTGTAAAAGAAAGCAACATGGGAGTACTAGTGGTGTAGTTCAACAGCACAGTGCTTGCCAACCATGTGTAAACTTGCCTAGCTTACCCTGGGTTCTAAAAAACAAAAACAAACAGACAAGCAACATGAGGGAGAATCAGAGACAAAAGATGTGCATGCTGTAAACAGGAGGTAAGACAGGGATAATAAAGAGGATGTTGGTGGTCTTTGATGAAGTGATACTTACCCCATTTCGGAGCATGTAGTAATCCAAAGCTTTCCCAGCCTCCAGCCATATACCCTTTTTGGGGTCATCATCTGACAGAAATAGCCCAAAGTCGCTGGCTAAAAGAGAAAATGGATCACCTTAGACTAGACCATGAAGACCACTGTGGCTGAATGATTACACCACTGCCCCTTAATATTTCTTCCATGACCTTGGGCCTAAAGAGGAAGAAGGGAAATTTGGTACATAAACCTTAGGGTACAATGGGGTCATCCCTCAGGGCCAAGAGCCTGGAAATGAGAAAGGATGACAGACTACTGTCCCAGCCACCTAGGTAGTCAGACTTACGAGGGCCAGCCAAGGCCTCTGGGATACGCTCACGAATGATGCGGCAGGCGTCATACACCATCGTAGATGGCTCAAACTGCATTGTCTTCACCACATTCCCAATGCTGATCTTCAGCGAAAGTGCAACCATGGTGGCAGCTTCTGCTCTCCAGCCTGGCTGTACCTAGTCCATGGCATTAGGACATTAGAATATACTCTCATTGGAAGAGATGAGGCTCCCAGAGTGGAGTCCCAGAGAGGAGATTTTTGGAAGGGACTCACCAAAACAGAGCAATAATGTTGTTTTGTCTTATTTAATAATTTCAAAGGCTGAAGGATTATTTTTATCAAATGGACCAGTCCTGACGATTTAGGACATCCCAGGGAAAGGCTGGTTTACAGGGTACAAGTGCAGGTCTAAAATCCAGTGTCACCTGAGGATACTGCCCTGCCTACACATCCTTTCTTCCAAGTGTTTCTCTTGCCCCTTGTCCATGCTCACTACTTTTTCTAGCCTTGCCCCTGCCTTGTTTTCATCTTTTTCTGAGCCACCATTTTTCTCTCTGTCTCCCACTGTGTCCTGCTGGCTTTTCCCTGTCTGGGATTTTCAGAGCTCTGCTCTGACTCATCATGTGACCTTCCCTCTCATAGCTTTAGCTTCCTTCTCTGCAAAATGAAGACGTTATATGAGATAATTCCCAAGGGCTCCTGAAGCCTGCAAACAGCTTCTAGCTAGCCTGGCAGAAAGACCAAATATTGGCTGTTCCAGCGATACACACCCATTCCTGCCCCAGCTTTTCTCCAACTCAAGAGGTGGGTGCCTCCCCCAGGAGCTGAGCCCCATCATCTGGTTTCCCAGCAGTCAAGTTGGAAGTACAATTCTCTATCCAAAGAGATCGCAGGAAATGATCTAGTCAACTCTCAATTTTGCAGAAGAGAAATCAGATCCTGGAAGAAGAGCAAGTCTCAAGGCAGGTGAAATAAAGAGCCCAATCCTTTTAACTCAGTCCTTATTCCTTCCAAGTAACCAAGTTGACACTAAGGCCTTTCTGAATGCTCCTACACTCTCTCCTGTGCACCAAGTCCTTCTCAGATTGCCCTCCATCTCAGCTACCTTCCCTGACAATGTCTTCAGTGCAGCTCAGCATATGTGTCTTACCTCACCTTCTTTCACCCTTCTGATACCTCTTAGCAGGCTGGAGGAGCCACTGTGGACAGCAGGTGGTGCACAGACCTCAAGAGGACAAGTCTGACCAGCAGCTGATGATATGACCCAGTGTGGTAAGGGGACTGGGTGCCTTTTAATTAAGAGAATGAGCAAACCCAGGCTCCCCCTTCCCTCTTGACAAAACTGCTAGCCCAAGATGGGGGAACTAGGACTGGGGGTAAGGTTGGGCAGCAGAAGCAGGGTGTCAGGATACCAAAGGCATTTGAGAACCAGGAAAATGGGAAGGGGTGGAGGGTGAAGAGGTCAGGAGAGATATGGTGAAGAGTTGAAAGTCTAGGTAGAAACAGGAGGCAGATGGGAAAAGATCTGGATCAGTGACTAGTAGGCCATTTCTGACCTTACAAATAGTCTAGATTCTCAAAAGAGAATCTTTATCTTTATCTCTATCTCTAGTCCCAAATAAGAGAGGACCCTCCCAGTCCACCCAGTTCCAGCTCTCTGCCCCATCCCCATTTCTGGAGCACTTCTCCCAATAGCGGGACAGACCTGGCTGTGGGTTGCTGACCACAGGAGTGAGAGCTGGAGGGACAGAGAAGCAGGAGTCCAAGGAGTTAGAGCAGGACTGAGAGGACCCTTCACCCTAAGCTAAAATTCCACGTCTCCCCCCATTTCCTCCGGACATATGGACACCCACTTCTTCCTCAAAAGCTTCTGGTGAGACCCCGATAAGGGAGTTGAGTCATGGCTACCCTAACTCCCAGGCTGGTCCTGTGTGGCCATCCACATAGTCATTGTGGGGGAGGGAATTGGTCTGAAGTGGTAGCAAAGAACAAGTCCCTGGAAGTATTAGTAGAAGCTATCTGGTTCCTGCCCTGGCCTGAGAACTTGGCTCCCCTTTCCATCATGTTTTATGGAACAGCAGCAACACTCCCTCCGTGTCCCCCTCCCAGGGAACTCCTCCTCCCTCGATACATTCCTGAGATGCATTCCAGAGGAGTTGGGCAATTGGAGGGAGGGGGTTGTGTAAATGGAGGACAGGAGGTCAAATCCCAGCAAGGAATGGAATGTAAGTGTATTGGGGCTAAAGAATTTGGGGGTATATGGAGAATACAGTCAGCACAGATACCCACAAAGGGAACTGCAGGAAGATTGGGAGTTATAGAGAGGGACAAAGAGAGAGAGAAAGCTCAAGACAGTCAGCATGTAAGAGGGTTGGGGGAATAACACTCAGTCAGTTACCAAATTTGGCCTCTGAGTCCGCAACCGCGGGGAGTTGGGGGAGGGTTTGTGGGTAAGACTGACATATCCGGCTTCGGGCTGCTGGAGGCTCATTTAGGGCTGGACTGGATAGCTGAAGGGCTGGACTTGACTTCCTCCAACACAGTGCCTCCACATCTACCCATGCATACTCATTCTCCCCTATGAATCCCAGTTTGTGCACAGAGCTCTTTCCCACAAGGCTACCTACATGCAGCTTATCTAAACCTCACAGTTCCTACACAAATGGATCTTGCAGAGACCCATCCCACATGCACAACTTCCCCCCAAATAAAATTTCACCACAAGCACACCAGGCTCTAATGCCCCAGCCCCCAACTTCTCTTCTCCCATTATGCACACATTCTCCCAGCCAGCATTCCTTGAGGGCCTATTATGGGGAAGTCCCTGGGCCAAACTTCTAGTGGTTGGGAACAACGATGAGTAAAACTTAGCCTTTGCCTTCGGTGTGCTGCCAGTCCCCCAGATGGGTAGGTAAGCTAATTATAGAGTTACAATAGAGGGCAGGATGCAATAAGAGCCAAAGTGTATGTGCTCAGAAGAGATCCCTTTAAGTTTAGGGAAGAGAAACCAAAAAGTATCCATGCAAGCTGTCATTTGAAGTTAGGATCTTAAAAAACAAAGATAATAAAAAGCAACAGTGATCTGTCATTTATTGACTGTATGTCAACTGCATTGCATACACAATTTCAGTTAATCCTTACAACAACCCTGGCAAGGTGGGTGTTGTTATTTCCATTTTTACAGATTAGGAAACTGAGACTCAAGAAAGTTAAATACTTGTTTAAAGTACTTGTTCAAATAATAAGTTGTGAAGCCAGGATCCGAACCCAGGTCTCTCTGATCCCCAAACCCAAGCTCCCTCTATTACACTAGCCCAAGGGGAGTCAAAGGTAGCATTTCAAGCAGAAAGAATAGTGTAAACAAAGGTGAAGAAGCAGGAAATCGCCGATGAATATTCAGGGAAGTAAGTAGGCAGGCTGGTTGAAGCACAGGGTACCTACAAGGGAGCAGTACTGGGGAAGTCAGGGTTAGGATGGAAAGGCAGGGGAGGCCTAGAGAGGAATATGAGGAATTTTACCTACTGGAGCACAACAGGAGGTCAAGAAAGGCTTTGAGCAGAGAAGGGATATAACCAGAAGTGGATTTTAGGAAAATAACTTCAGAGATTGGTTAGAGCAATACTGTATTAGTATAAGTAATAGGTAATGAAGCCACAATTACAATGGCAGGGAGGAAGCTGCCACTCAGAAGAGATTTTAAGAGGCAGAACTCACAGGACCTGCTTACAATGTGTTCTGTCAACCTTCAGGGACTAGAGTCTAACATCAGCCTGGGGCTTCATAGCTTCCTATCATCAGTAGCTACTTAGTGTCTATAGCAGCTTGAGTTTAGGCATCAAAGTGGGAAGGGGGTATGGATCAGGTTGGGAAAAATGGGATGAGATGTGATTAATAGTGAGATAGGGGCAGGTGGGTGGGGTTAGGGACTACCTCAGACCAGGAAAGGGGAAGATGATGTAGAAAGAGGCTGGGGAAGAGGGTGATAGGAAAAATACATATATGATCAGTCACTGTATCAGGCTGGGTGAGGAAGAATGATTCTACAGATAGTGACTAAGTCAGGGAATGATGAAGTGAGGTCAGAGGTCGGGTCAGGCTATAGGGGTTTTAGAAAAGATGGGGATGTGGTAAATGGCTAAATTAGGCTGGGGCGGGTGGGGGGGCTGAAGGGTCATCAGCAGTATCTAAGTAATGATGGAGTTGAGGTTGGGGGAGGGGCAGCATGGGAAATAGTCATGGGTAGGGGATAGTGCTGTGGTCAGTAATAGGGCAGGCTGAGAGTGAAATGGGGGTGTGGTCAGTGGCCTGGTTGGGCGTGGGATCAGTAAGACCCAGTTTCCTCTTTGGGTCTCATTTCCTCTTTTCTGTTGGGGAGTGGGGGAAGGGGATCTACAACTGGACCAAGAAATTAAATGAGGCTCAGAATCAGAGATGCACATAGCAGGAGCTGGGGGTAGGGTATTCAGTAGATTCCTAAATGGTACGCAGGTATATAAATGGGTGGAAATAGTGGGAGAGTGCAGTTATGATGGTGGGAAAGCTCAGAGCTGGATGAGGGTAAATAAAATTAGGATGTGCGAATGGAAGGCTAAGGAGGGAGGCAGCAGGGACTGGATGTTAAGATCATGAGCAACAATGGGAAAGCTGAGGCAAGGGAAGTATCTGTAAGGAAGTGTAATAGAAGGGTGCACAATGCAGAGCATCGCAGGAATGAGAGAGGAAGGAGACAGTGGAGCTAAACAGTCAGGGGATTCAGTCATTCCCTTCTTCCCCCGAAACAGTGTTTTCTTGGTCTGCTCCCCCCTTAGTCACCAGTCTCCTCTTCCCTAGACAGTCCCCCACTTATGACTCTGTTGTACATCTCCTGGGCCCATGTCCATTTTCCACCCTCCAACCCCATCTTGCCAACAACAGAGTCCAGGAATCCCTGCCCTCACCACCTCCTCCCCCATCTTGATGCCCCAGGTCTGTAAGAGCCTTAAACTAAAGAAGCTGGAATCCCGATGCCTGCAATTCTAGCTGAAGCCCAGAACACTGGCCTGTCATCTCTGTGAGTGGGTAAGGGATCTCTCTGCAAAACAAAGACATCTACTTGCTGCCAACCTCTTACATTCTATCTGCTCAAGATCGATTTACCCTGGCCTCAACCACAACCCTGAAGTTGCCTAACATTAACCCTGACCCTAATTTGTTTTCAGATTCCCACTACCGGCTTTGACATTCATCCCTTTCCTGGCAAACTTTCATACTGATTTAATTTTCACCTTTGGGACCAAATTCCGACTTTAACCCTAAATATTGACCACCTTAGCCTTAAAGCTCATTTATAATTTGATTCCTAACTCATTTTCACTGTTTATTCTTAATACTGACCATGACCATGGTCTTCAGCCCTTAGGACGACTCCTAAATTAATTCCTGTTGTTGACCCTTTACCCAGTCCTGTACTCTTTGACTTATGCTGGTCATTCCAGAAAAACAAATAATCACCTCAATCTAAAACCTCACCTACATAAAACAGACCTGACTCACACAAATAACTGTTAAAGTTTAGCTTTATAACTTCTAAAATGACCCTTGGCTCCTAAATCCAACCCCACCTACTCCCAAACTCACCCAAAGCCTTCCAACCCACATACCCGCTATCAGCTAACACCAAAGCGCATCCCCGCCCTGCGCCCCACTGCCTGCCCGCTCCTCGCCCTCTCCAAAACCTATTCCAGGAAAGGCCTGCTTTTTGCAAGACGGACTGCTTAAATTCCCAGCCCATGTCGAGACACTGGACTCTGACCTCTCCCAACAGGACCCAAGACAGGACACGCAGGAGAGCCGAGGGCCCCGCCCGCCCGTTCGCCCGCCTCCCGGGCCGGGCCCCGCGGCCCCACCCTGAAGCTCGGGCTCGGCCCGGTCTGGCCTACCTGTGCTGCCCGGCTCGTGCCCCGCCCGCCGGCCCGCTAGCCCGCTCGCTCTCCGGGTCGCTCTCGGGCTGCGGCCTCGCCCTCCCTTCGACACTCTCGGCCACTTCCGTCCCGGGAACGTCCCCCACCCGCGGGCGGCGCCCTGGGCCCGCGCTCTATGGTCGTCGAGACTGCAGGAAGCTGCTCTGGCCCCAGCTCTCGATGCTCGGGAGCCCGCCGAAGACTGGCGGCCCCTCCCCGGCAGGAAGCAAGGGTGCGGAGCAACCCGGAGAAAACGCCAGAACTACGCCCAAGTTCCCTTTTAGACTCTGAAGTCTTCTTTTTTCTATCTCGGGGCGAAGGCGGAGCCGGATTTCCAGAATCCCCGCCCCCGCGGTGTGAGGAAGCAGCTGGGACGTCCCCACTATTTGCATAGCCCCCGGGACGTGGCGCCGCACCGAGGCCACTTCCGAGTTGAGGGGAACTCCAAGTCCCAAAATGCCTCGAGGCTGGTTACGTCACTTCTGTTGTGTTGGAGGCAGAGAATTAAGACCGAAGGCAGCTCTGGCTGCAGAGCCACGGTTAAGGCTCCCGGCCGGGCGGCTCCGCGGAAAACAGAGCAGTGAGGAGTACCGGGGGTCGTGCCTAGGGATCGGAGGTCCGAGCCGGCCGCGTGGAGGGTTGACCTCCCCACACCTCCGTCCTTCCCGTAGATGTCCCAAATGGAGCTAGCCTTGGACCCCGGTGACCAGGACCTGCTGGGCTTCCTGCTAGAGGAAAGCGGAGATTTGTGGGCTGCTCCCGACGAGGCCTTGGAGGCTCCGCTGGACTGGGAGCTGTCACCTTCCGAGGTGGGTGGTCTCCTCGGTGGTGGGGGAAGAGGAAGGGGGACGGAAAGCTCGCGACAGCCGCGAGGCCGAAGGGGCGGAGGTAAGTCAAGGTCTGTGGACTTGTTAGAACTCTGTGCAGGCTCTGAGTGACTGGGAGGTAGAAGACTTGTTGAGCTTCCTGCCCAGTCCCCCGGCGTCGCTGGACGTTCTTAGCTCCTCCGACTTTTCTCCTGTCCATCACGATCACACCTACTCCCTCCCACAGAAACATGTCTGCATAGATCTAGGTGAGTGAAATAAATGAAGTTTGGGGGACGGGTAGGAGAGGGCTCATGGGCCTGGCTATTCCTACTTTGCCTTTTGCAGATAGTGGGAGCTACGGAAAGGAGGAGGCCTGGATGACTCCAGTGCATGGAGAGGAGCCAGCAGAGCAGGTACTAACTTGACTTAGTTTTCAGAGTTATTCCCACACACTGCACGGGTGGATTCCCCATTCCTTTCTGACATCCGCATGAAACGCTGATGCCCACTTCCCCATAACCCTAGGAGATTGCTAACCTGGTACTGACAGAGGAGGAGAAGAGCCTTTTGGAGAAGGAGGGGCTGATTCTGCCAGAGACACTTCCTCTCACTAAGGTAAGGCTCCCATTGGTGGAGTAAAGGCTGGTGTGGGGTAGGGGAGATGTGAGTTCCAAGTAGTTTTATTTCATGTCAGAAACTTGAAAAAGGACTCTGGTAAGAAACTTACTGTATTTGTTGCTAGTAGCCAATTGGAACAGATGGTTAATAAGCTAAATGCAAGGGCAGATCCTGATTTTGTGGGAAATATATAAACATACAGATTTTGGTATTTGTAAGGAAAAAAATAAAAATTCAGCATTACTACAGGGCCTTGGAAAGGACTGTACAATTAAGAGCTCAGACATTTAAGATTTCATTGGCTTCATCCACTTCTTGTTTGATGGTATTTGAGGTAAAAACAAGTGTTTTGAGAGTTCAACAAGGCTGGACCAAGCAGTATACAAGAGTTAAGTGTAAAGTCCTGAGTTTTAAGTTTTAAGCAAGGAGTGGCATCTTCACAGACACAATATTGTGATGCTATGGTGAAATCAAAGTTCACTGACAAACAGGTTAGGGGTATTTTAATTTCTTAGAAGTACAAGATGAGAGTCTTTGCTCCCGTTTCCTTGGTGGGCAACAGGAAATGTTTCTCTTCCCCATCCCTCCCTCCACCTTGTCTATACTTTATCTTGTTAGACGAAAATAAATCCTTGCTAAAACTTAAAAAAAAAAAAAAAGTACAAGATGAGTCAGTAGTATGGTATGGATGGTAGGAACGTGAATGGGATTTGGAGGTTCTTTCAGTAGAGGTGCTGCCCCTAGAAAGGCACTGTCTTGTTCTCTTTTATACTGTCCAGAGTACATCCAACTGTCCAGTTTTCAGCCTATATCTTTAACACTTATTAAGAGTCCATCCTGAGAAGATGGTGAGTTATAGTTTTTGTCCAGGTTTTTTTCATTTTTAAATTCTGCGAAAATGTTAAAGTGCCTTAAAATAGCTAAACAAGGTTTGTTCAGCATGGCCCCAGAGATTTTAGGTAAGTCCATGGATAGAAATTATACGGCAGCAGATGTTGGGTTAGGGTAAGGAAGGGTTTTCTTTTTTTAACTAATAAGATTGTTTTAAAAAAAAATAGCCTGGTTTGTCAGGGTTAAACACCTGGTCCTTGTAGACATTTTTAGAGAAGCTGTAGAAGAGACTCCTGCATTAGGAAGAGGATTGAGCTGTTGCCTTCCAATTCTTTAGTCAAATTTCCAGATACCCTTTTTCCTCATCTTCTCTCAGATGGAGGAACAAGTTCTGAAACGAGTGCGGAGGAAGATTCGAAACAAGAGGTCTGCTCAAGAGAGCCGCAGGAAGAAGAAGGTGTACGTGGGGGGTTTAGAGAGCAGGTAAGAAAGGGAGAGGGAACAGAAGAAATAGTTGGAAGCATTAGGGTTTGAAGGGAAGATACAAGTGATATCCACATATCCCTGTTATCCCCCAGGGTCTTGAAATACACAGCCCAGAATCAGGAGCTACAAAACAAAGTACAGCGTCTAGAGGAACAGAATCTGTAAGCAGCCCTCCAAATTGTTCTCTCCTTCTCTCCCTTCTTCCCCTTTAATAATGCTTTCTCTTTCCCCTGCCCTACACTTGATTTCTAAATGGGAAGCTCCCAAATGCAAGGTCTGGTACTTGGCCTTTACAGGACTATGATTTCAAGTAGTGCACAGTAGTAGAGAATAAATTTACAAGGAGGTAAGGATAAGTTAAGTACCAAGAAAGAGAAAGGGGAAGTAAGAAAGACTTCATGGGACAGGCAGTGTCTGAGAACAGTTAGGATTCTGGGATGGAGTTGGGTGGGGAAAGCATTCTAGTGGAGGGAATGTTAAATAGTTGAGGTTGCCTGGAATTCTTAAGGCCAGAAAGTAGAAAACAGTGCTGCCAGGCTCTAGTAGCTCATTTCTATAATCCCAGCTACTCAGAAGGCAGAGATCGGAAGGATCAAGGTTTGAAGCCAGCCCAAGCAGAAAGTTAAGAAGACCCTATCTCAACCAATGCCTGTCATACCAGCTTCTCAAAAAGTGTAAATAGGAGGATTGTGGTCCAGGCTGGCCTTGGCATAAGCATGAAACCCCGAAAGTGGCTTAAGGGGTTGAGCGCCTGCGTAGCAAGCATGAAGTTGAGTTCAACCCTAGTACCACAAAAAAAAAAAAAAAAAAAGAATGCCTGATGAGAATTATGTACATAGCTGATCAGACATGGGAGAACTATTGAAGGTATTTGCAAAATCAGGGCAGAGTTTATTTTTTGTTTGAATGAGGAACTTCAGGCATTTTGTTCATAGAGAGGAAGAAATCATTTGCAAAAGTAGGAAAGTAAAAAAAACAGGATCCAATACACCAGTGGAGGAGGTGGTCTTAACAGGAAGGGTTTCATTGTGGCTCTGGAGGCCAGTTCAGGAGGTGCTCACCACTGTCCCTTCTTTCCCTAGGTCCCTTCTAGATCAGTTGAGGAAACTCCAGGCTATGGTGATTGAAATATCAAACAAAACCAACAGCAACAGCAGCTGTGTACTGGTGAGGATGTTTGATGGGAGGAGAGATCCCTTTCTTAAGTGGTAGGAACAGGGGCAGGTATAATCCAGACCCCTTCTTCATCACCTTTTTCCTATGCTCTAGGTTCTACTGTTCTCCTTCTGCCTCCTCCTTGTACCTGCGATGTACTCCTCCAACACAAGGGGGAGCCTGCCAACTGAGTATGTTGGTAAGAGACTTAAAGATACCTACCTGTAAGGCATGGGCTACGGAAGAGGCCTGGGCTATGTTTTGTTTCCTGACAATTCTTGTCTCTTCAGTGTTGTCCCGACGGCTTCGTGCTCTCCCCAGTGAGGCCCATCACCAACCAAAACTGTCTCTGCTGCAGCCAGAGGTACCAAATGACAGCAAAAGCCAGTTGTTGGATAGCTCAGACCTTGTGTTCCAGGCCCCTGGCAACTTCTGTCTGCTGGACCACATGCCTCAGACTGCTCAGGCTGAGCCTTCACTGCAGTGGTCACTCCCTGACCTTCTCCCAGACCCCCCCTGCCCAGGTCCCATCCTTCCCCTGCAAGCAAATCTCACAAGGAAGGGGAAACAGCTTCTTACCCACAGCCCCTCATCTGTCATCTTGCAGGGCAGATACTCAGGTTAGATGTGAGGATATGGGGTATCTTAGCAAGAATATGAAGGCCCTTTTTATGTCCAAATAAAAGAGGGGGGGAACAAGGCTGGTCTTCGCTCCTGCACCCAGTTAGGATGCCTGAGGGCTCGAACACACCATACGTATTGGCTTTGTGGGTCTTTTATTTATACTCATGTGTCTACTGCCCCATGAATGGACCTGTAGAAATCAAATGTCCTTGAGTATTTCATGCAGTGAAGGAAGGGGTAGGGAAAGAAATAAATAAGTGATTCTGATGCCTGGATCACCCTCAGTCCCTCTTTACTGGCACAATTGGGTGGGTGGGGAAAAAGGAAAGGGCATGATTGTCCTGGTGGCTCAGGGCTGCAGGAGTTTTGGGGGTAAGGGAAAAGACTAGGCTGGAGGCTAGGCTTCCACAGTTCAGATGGTTCACTCCAGCCTTAGGTTTGCCAAGGCTTCCTTTGGTCCACATTTTGGCCCTGTGCCCTGTTCCTGTGTTGGTCCGCCAGCCTTCTTATGCTGCTGCTGTTGCAGGGCCAGCTGCATGGCCCAGATGCTCAGTGGCCGCATGTAGGCTAATGAGCGAAACACCTGTTGCTGGCAATATGCCTCAGGGGTCTGGAATGCCAGGCCCAGGCGCTCCCATACAGTGCGGTAGCAGCCTTCAGCTGTCTGGAAGCCCTCCCAAGTCAGACCCTGTGGGGAGAGATAGAAGTCAGACATACAACTTGGTACCCCAACATCAGCTGGACAGGTGAAAACAGTAGCTCAGGGAGCTCCACTTAAAAGGCAAGAGGTGGAATGTATACCTGAGAAAGGAAGGAAAGGCTATATGTATCGATAAGATGGCACTGGTGTATGCCTTGAATGGTGGGGAGGGAAGAGAGTGTGTTACCTCTTGGATCATGGTGGCTGCCAGGCCGTAGACCACACCCACCCAAACTTCATCAGATTGCACGCTGGATCTGTCAGGAACGCCATGAGGCTGCATCCCATTCACAGCCCCCATGACCCCTCCTGCAAAGGCCTGGACGTTGAGCTCAAAGATGGTTTGGAGAGCACGAACTACATGTGGGATAGGAAATACCTAGGGGGCAAGGCAAAGGTAGAGACATGGTCTGTTATACTTGCTTCCCACCTCCAGGGAAAACCCACCTTCTGGCTCCTCTTTCTAGTCTCACCTCAGTGTCTCCTTCTCCTAGGCCACAGGCCCTCAGGAACCACTGTCCAGCACATTGGTCAGACATGATGCTACGAGACTGAGGCTGAGAGCTGCTATCATAGTTGTAATAGCGGCCTGGAGTAGAAGAAGGGCAAAGTAAGGCCCCTGGTGTTTCCACAGATTCCTTAAGACTTCTCAGGTTCCCCAAACTCACCATTCCACAGCAGTCTCTCATAGGCTTCTTGGCCCCGACTAAGGATAGAAGAAAACTTTTCCTGGACATCCTGTGCTCCACACAGAACAGCCATCTGAACCATCACAGCCACAGCTGCCAGCCATAGCCCTCCACAGTAAGCACTGATCAAAGACAGGGGTTTGGGGTTCAGACTGGCAGCTCCAGCCACACCCATGCAATCTAATAGACAATGAGTCATTCTTTCTTAAGCACTACTATCTCTTCGTGCCCAGTTCCCCACCTCAGGCCTCCTGGAAATCCCTATCCTCCCAACCTGGGGCCAGTAGTGACCCATCCATCATAGGTCTGGTCTGCATAGCCTCCATTCTCAATGAGTCCATCATGGTCCTTGTCAAACTTCATTTCAGACTCCATCACAGTCTAGAGAAGGGACCAAGACACTGAAGACGTAAGTACTAAGATAATAGCCAGCTAGGTTCTCCCCAGACACCCATCATGCCCCTGGCACACTGCACACTGTGCATGCATCCCTTACCAGACACACAGGCCACATGTCTTTCAGGAAGCCATGGTCACCCGTCAGATAATAGTCCCGATAAACCTGCAGCACAAACTTCAGGTTCAGGTCCTTCCAGTCAGCAGTATCATGGATCAAATATGCATTGACCCGGAGCCATGGTTCATCATCTGTGGGAGGGGAAGGGACCTGGTTCATTTACATTGGTGGATAGGTAAAGGATGCAAAAGTTAATGAGGAGAGCTGACCTTAGGGGAAGAGGGACCTTTACCTGGGTCTCCAATATCATGGGGGATGACATTCCTCCTTTTCACAGGTGCTACAACCCCACTCATCAGGTACCGTCGCCGTGTCAGGTCCTCCCTGAGAGTTGCCAGAGCTGCAAGAACAGACACACAAGTGGGTAGGGGAAGGCAAGGAATGGACAGGCTTGGGGTGGGGCACAGGGCTGTATGTTTGTGACCCCAGAGGAGAACCAACAAGCAGGATGCAGATGTGTTTGGGGGAAAGGGTAAGAAGACAATCTGAGGGACCACAGAGGTTCAGGGACAAGGGAGCTAAGGGGGCAAAAGCAACACAGAAGTTACTCTCACCCATGTCATACTGTAGGCTGAGCTCGAGTTTGGGCCAGAGCATTATGAGGGCAAAAGAAGCATAAAAGTGGACATCATATGTGTTGTACATGCGATACTCCTGGCCTGGAAGAATGAGGGAGACACACTGTTGCCAGCATTCTTGCTTCCCCCTCATAGCACATCCTCCAAGACTGAAGGTAGGGCACTGTCATATTAGTCTGCAGTCACCACTTACCCCCTCATCCCACTAAGACCCTGGGATAGGCAGAATCTATCATCTTGCCTTATGGTACGGCACTGATGTCAGGGGTACGGCCTACCACACTCCAGCCTACCAGCAACCCATACCCTCAAGGTAGCCAAATCGACCATAGTCCCGCAGGATGGGGTGGAGCTGATGCATGCTCCCTTCCAGCTCTTCTGGAAGGGAGTCCTCGGGAACTTCCAGCCACACTGTGCCTCCATCGGCCAGGAAGTATAATTCATTGAACAGTGCAGATTTGTACCAGGCAGGCAAGGATCTAGGGAGTCACAAGGAGGGAAAGGACCTTCATGAGTGTGGACCTCCCAGGATAGAAAGGACTCTGGGGTTCAGTGGAGTGGGAACACCAAATAAATCCTGGCCCAGTCCTACTGACTGGTGAGCAGACAATGAATCAGATTTCCATTTGGAGTGAGTGCCCAACAGAAAGTAAAAGAGGGCTCCACTGGCACCTGTCGTCCAATACTGGGCTCTGCCAAGCTGAGATCTGGTCTTCCCAGTCTGCATATTGACACAGTGCATAGTGGCTAAGGGCAGGCGCTGCATTACCATCTGCGCCAAAGAATCTTGTATACCGCCTGTGGAGGGAAAGAAAGGAAGAAGGTAAGAATACATGCTCCAGGCCAGAGTCTCAGAGCCTTGGACCCCTCTCCTTCTTTGGTCCCTCACCTGTGGTGGACTTGGCCCTTAGCTCCAAACATGATCCTGGGCATGTCCCAAGCCAGTGAAAACTCCAGGCAGCACCGGCCTCGAGGTGGCAGCCTGCTGGAAGCACATACAGCCCCAGCAATGCCTACTCCTTTCTGTGAAGGGGTGCTTTGGCCTGAGAAGCACAGAGCAGTCAGCACAGGCACCCACCCCCTTCAACCCCAGGACCAGGGATCCCTAATATGAGAAAAAAGCCTATTTGTTATCAGGTCTCCCACCCCTGGTCCTAAGACAGGGACAACCTTTGTTCCCAACACCTCCCGGTCAGACCCCCCATCACCAGCGGGGGAGTCCAGCTGTCCATCCTGAAGTAGGTCCTGCCACACCTGCTGCCCAGTGCTGTCAGGGTCAAAGGCTGTGATGTGGGTTACCGTGGTATCTGCCTGTTAAGGGGCCAAAGACTCTGTGAGGGAAAGCTCCACAAGTACACTGGATTCTGACTAGCTCTCCAGCTCCTCTTATATACAGTCACCTCCAAGTTCCAGAGGCTGAAGGGCTGTGATGAGGGTGGGACTTAGGAGTTGATGAAATGAGGAGACTATGATGGGGTGGAAGTGGGTTTGGAGTCAAGCTGAGGATAGGGCCCAGGGGCTAAGGTATAAGACAGGCTCTTCCGTTACCGTGAGTCGTGCAGCCACAGCCATGGTGTAGGGATTTGGAAGGGTTGGATGATGCAGCAGTAGCCCCTGTATAGTCTCCCCGTCCCGCTCCAGACAGAAGGGTTCATTCCACAAACCACCTGGGGCATCGTCTCCACCCCCAAGTCCATTCCGCATGGAGAACATGATAGACACATCCAGAGCTTCATCCCCTTCATTTTCCACATCCCACACAAAGACTCCTACAGGCAGGCTGCTGTCCTGGGGGCAGAAAGTTGGACTCAGATGGCCTCAGTGTAGCTTCTCTTGGCTCCACTCCCTGGGATCAGTTCTGAGCAGAGAGGACCAGTCTCTAATTCTCCTTAATATACTCTCTTCTATTTTCCACTTGTATCTCCTCATATTCCCAGGCAAGCTGCCTACCAGAGGACAGTGGAACCAACTGGACAGTGGTCCTGGGAAGCTCTAACCCCTCCCTTTCACAAGTTATGGAATGTTCAGCAGACGTTGATCTGGAAGAGGGAAGACAATGGAGGAAACACAGAAGGGGGTGTCTCACCTGGTAGTCATGGGGCAAGATAGGTGTGATCTGACGACAGGTGAGGGTAACATTCTGCCCAGGAAGCTGATAGACAGTCCAAGCTCGGGGATAGAGGGCGTGGTAGAAAGCAAAGTACCCACACAGGCCCCAGTTCCAGCTGCGTAGGACACTTGGGCGCTCCAAGGACAGAACTTGCTGGTACACAGTCCGCCCTTCCCGACGCAAGCACACTGTGAACTTAATCAAGAGGGAAGACAGGGTAGAACAGGCACCACACTACCTCTCTGTCTAGAGTCTGTCATTGTTGCCATGTACCCCCAGCCTCAAGTTATCCCCCAGGCCTTCCCCCAAGCTCAGTGAGCCACCACCAAGTCCTGCTGCCTCCCCCTCTATCCAGCTCCCAGGCCTCCTCTCCCTTCACTACTGTTGGAGTCACTCCGCAGTCCTCTCTCCCTTCACTGCTGTGATCCCAGTTCGCTAATCTAGGCCTACACTAGCTCTGCTTTTTCTTTTTCTTTTTTTTTTGCATACTAGGGCTTGAACTCCGGGCCACACACTTGCTAGGCAGGCACTCTACCACTTCATCTATATATGCTCCAAGCTCTTGTGATTTTATTTTATTTTTTGCTCTAGTTATTTTTTCAGGTAGGGTCTCACATTTTTGCCCAGGGCTGGCCTCAGACAACAATCCTACTACCTATAGCCTCCTGGCCTCCTGCATAATTGGGATCACAGGCTCATACTACCATACCTGGTTTGTTGATTGCTTGAGATGGGGGCAGGGGTGTTCCTCATTAACTTTTTGCCTGAAGTGGCCAAGAACTATGATCCTACCAATCTCTACCTCCTGAGTAGCTGGGATTATAGTTGTGAGGTGTTGTACCTGGCCTGCCCCTTCTTATCTGGGTAGCAGAGAGGTCCCTTTGACAGATAAAGGGATATGTCAGTCTCTGCTTCTAATGTTTCAGTAATTCACATGGTTCTTAGGCATAACCTAAACTCTCCTACCTGGCTTTCAAAGCCCTTCTTGATGTTTAATCACATCCTGGAAACATAAAATCCTCCCCATTCCTTGAGTATACTGTATTTCTCCTCCATTTCTCTGCTCATGCTCAGTCTCCATCTGGTGAGAGCCCACATTCTTCATGTCCTAGTTCAAATGCCATCTCCTCCTACTCTTCTAGCAATGAGTCATCCCATGTGTCCTCTCCTGCTCTTGTCTTGCATTTGATATATTATGTTATAATGTATTTACTTGCCATTCTATTTCTTTGATTGCCTCCTGGCTTCTTTTGAGGGTAGGGATCCTTTCTAGTTTATTGAAGTAGCCCTTTGCAGAGCTGTCACATGTATGGAATGCACCAAGTCTCTGAAGCACTGTTTCTTTCATATGTCCCTCTCATTTTAGCACTAATGTGGCCTCACACTTCCATTTCCCTGATAAAAATCTAAGCTCTTGGAGAGCAGAAGCTCTGAAGAATTAATAATCTCCTCTTTCCTTGGTTCAAACTATGTATTTTTTTATGCCTGATATTTTTACTGTATATAAAATAAATTTAATAAATTTTCTTTTTTTTAAAATTTTTTTGAGACAGGATCTTACTGTGTAGCTCAGGCTGGCCTTGAACTCAAAATCCTCCTTCTTGCCTCAATCTCCTAAATGCTGGGATTACAGGCTTTGGCCACCAATCCCAGCCAAAAAATATTCTTTTTTAAAATTCTTATTTTCATGTTATTGTTATTTTGGGGGTACAATGTAACATTTACAAAAATGCTTACAATATATCTTAGTCAAATTCATCCCCTCCATCATACTCCTTTATGCCCTGTCTCTCCCCTCTTAGAACAGTTTCAACAGGTCTCATTTTTCCATTTTCATACATGAGTACATGGTATTTCCACCACATTCACCTCCTTTACCCCCTCCCTACATTCTCCCCCTCCCACTAATACCACCCGCGCCCCCCCAAGGCAGGACCTGTTTTACCTTCCTGTTTGTCATTTTTTTTTTTTTAAAGTCATTTCTGTTTGTTTAAGAAAGCTATACAGGGAGTTTCATTATAACATTTCCATGTATATATGTATTATATTCTGAATTAGTTCATTCCCTCCATTTTTCTTTCCAGCTTAGTCCCCTAAAATATTGTTTTGTATTGTTGGAAAAGTACATAATGGTTAAAGCCATGGGCTCTTTACCACAGGGAGAATTAGTTCTGAATATTAACTTTCCTTTTACCAAAAAAACATGGGACCTTGGGCATGTTACCGATGCCCTCTGGGTCTTAAGTTTCCTCATCTGTAAAATGAATATGACAATGGTACTTTATATTTTTTGTTTCTTTTGTTTTTTGGTAGGACTAGGGTTTGAACTCAGGGCTTTGTACTTGCAAAGCAGGCACTCTATTGTTTGAGCCACATCTGCTCTGCTCTGGTTATTTTTGGAGATGGGGTCTTGTGAACTATTTTCTGGGGCTGGCTTTACCCTCAGTCCTCTTGATCTCAGCCTTCCAAGTAGCAAGGATCACAAGCTTGAGCCACTAGCACCCAGCAGTTTTGTCTTTAATATTAAATACACCAAAAGGAGAGTGATGGAGAGGGTCAATTCAAATATGATATACATGATACATTGTAAGAACCTTTGTAAATGTAAATGCCACAATGTATCCCCGACCAGCACAACAATAAAAGAAAAAACAAAAACAAAAATACACCAAAAAACCTAGCACAGTGCCTAGACACATTAACCATGCAATAACTACTTTAAATGCAGTCTTGATTCTGGAAGGTATTCCCCTTGGTATACCCAAGGGATGAGACCGAGGGAGACTTGGGGGCACTTGTCAGGGCCACTGAACTTGAATTGGGAAGAGCATTGTCACTAATGGGACTTAGTATCTGCTAGTCATTCTCTTTTGAAGATGAGCTGAAAGCTGGAGGTATCCCTCACATAGAAGGAAGAACTTGATAGATAAGTCAAAAGGGGAGGTCACTAGAAAGCTCTAATGAATGGCAGGTCACATACCCAATTGGGCCCACCTTTGATGTAGGAGTGGAAGGGGGAAAAAAAAAATGAAGTTACAGAAAATGTAAGAAGGGCCAGGAATGGTGGTGCACACCTGTAATTCCTTGGGAGATGGAGATCGGAAGGTTCACAGTTGGAAGCCAGGCTTGGCACAAAGTTAAGGAAACCCCATCTCAACAAACAAGCTGAATGTGGTGGCCTACACCTGTAATCCCAGACAGGAGGGAAGTGTAGGTAGGAGGATCAAAGTCCAAGGCTGGCCCCAGGCAAAAACACAAGACCCTACCTATAAAATAACTAAAGCAAAAAGGGTTGGGACATTGTTCAAGTGATACAGCACCTGCCTAGCAAGCATGAGGCCCTCAGTTCAAACCCCAGTACTAAAAAAAAGGCTACAGACCTAAGCCTGGGAGAGGAGGGGCTTTTTGGGCTCTAGGCAGAGACCTCTAGAGGAGTGATACACAACCAGAAGAGCTGGTTTGTACTGAAGGTTTGCAAATCAAAGGTGAGGAGGGGTTGTACTACATATCTTCTTTTCCTACGATTGTAGACTTTTGGTTTTGTTCTCTCTTTTCTGGTCCTGTCAAATGTTCTTTACCTAGGTTAAATGATGTGGGAATTTTCTGTATTCTCTGTGGTGGGCACTGGCTTTAAGCTAGTAATGCTGGGACAGTTAGGTAGACAGGAGGCATTTACTAGAGAAATGCCAAGGCTATTTATTCTTTCAAGGAACATGGATTGTGTGTCTTTTTTTTTGGCAGTAGTAGGGTTTGAACTCAGAACCTTGCTCTTGCTAGGCAGATGCTCTTACCACTTGAGCTATGTCCCCCTACCCAGTCCTTTTAGATTTGTTTTTTTTTTTGGGTCTCACGTTTATGCGTGAGCCAGCCTGGACCACGATCCTCCTACTTACACTTTCTGCATAGCTGGGATGATAGGCATATGCCACCACACCCAGCTTTTATCAGTTGAGATGGAGGTCTCTTGAACTTTTTGCCCTGGTTAGGGTTGAACTACAATTCCCAAGTAGCTAGGATTATAGGCTTGAGCCACCATGCCCAGTTTCTGTGTGTCTTAATCCTACCGTATATCCTAGCAAAGGGCTGGGTACACAGAAATCACTTACTGCAGTGAATCATGTATACGTTTAACTGCCACATCCTACACTAGCCAAGGGGCCCTTCCTCCACCTTCTGGCTCTTACTTGGTCCGCGATGACAGTCTGGTGCTGGTATATCCCAGGGTTAAGCTGCCAGCGACAGAACTGGCCTCTCCAGCCGCGGGTAATAGTGCCTCCACCAATGCCACCCAAGGGACAACCTAGAGAGGATCGAGATGGTTAGTGCGGTAAGGGAAGAGGAAAACAAGCCCAGTTCTCACTTTCCAGACCATGAAGATTGCTTCTTTTTAAAAACCCTAGGGAGTGGAGCAGTGCACTTTACATAAACTGGAAGCCTCTTTGCCTAACTCTGCAGTAGTCCTGGGGGTTGGACCCTCTTTGAGTAGGGCAGAGCTGGGGTGAGCTCACCGTAGATCTGTCTCAGGGGTGTGCAATTGATCATGTCGATGAAAGGTCTCTTCTTTTCCACTTGGGTCTTCCGGTACCACCACTTCAAGTACCTGAGGAGCAAGCGGTAGTGTGAGTGCAAGGGGGTGGAGTGGGCAGTTCCTCACAGGCTGCAGTCATCTGGCTTTCTCTGACACCCAGCTCTAACTTCCCTCGAAATGTTTCAAGGTGGCCAATGCCTATAATCTCAGCACTTGGAGACTGAGGTAGAAGAACTGTGAGTTTGAGGCCAGCCTTGGCCACATAGTGAGACCCATCACCTTGGCCCTCAAGCCTCTCTTTCTCTTGATCACTCATGTCTCCTTCATCCTCCCAGCTCCCCCAGCACCAGTGTATGACTGCCTTTGTTTCTCCTCTTTATTCTCCTCAGAAGGGACTTTCTGATCTTTCCTTTCTAACTCCACTATCACTGCTTTGGTTCAAACCTCCAGGAGCTTTTTGTGTGAGGTTTAAAAGGGCCAGTTACATTTTCCTGAACTACATCTTCTACCACCTACCCCTACCTCCCAAAGAAGCCTAAGCTGCCAAAGATAACTTTCTTCTTTTTAAAATGATTTTTTGGGCTGGTGGAGTGGCTCATGCACCTGCCTAGCAAGTGTGAGACCCTGAGTTCAAACCCCACTACAATCTCACAGCAAGAGAACCAGTGTTTATATTTTAGACCATTTCCTCCTAAGTCTTGTTTTTCTCCCCTGTTGTAGCACTGAAAACTGTAAGCATTAAGATTTTGCTCTTTCATAAAGAATAAAAACTTTGCTAAAAAAAAAAAAAAACTCCAGTAAACCCCAACATTTTCCTGTTCTTACCCCTATCTTGTATTTAATAGGGAAATGGTTGGGGTTGCCCTAATAGTAAATGATTCTGTTTTCAAGGCTCGGCCATCTGCTCCAGCCTGTCTTCTAATCTTATTCCCTACAAATTCTCATTAGGATGACCCATCCTAAATGAGACCCAGCCTAGACTCTTTCCCCTTTCTACTCTCCTCCCTACCCAACTGCCTGATGCCCAATGTTCAGTCACATCACTTCTAATCAAGTAATTGGGTGTAAGTAAGCCCTTGAGCCTCAGTTTCCTCATCTATAAAATGTGGGTGCCTCCTGCCCTAGCTATCTCATGAATGATTGAAAGATCAAAGGACATAACAGATAAAAAAGCCATAAAGTAGAATACCTATGACAGGTATGATTACTGTACACACATTATCTCAATTCCTAATCAGGCGCTGCCTTATTATTTCAATGTTTCTCATGTGAGTCTGACCAATTTTTAAGTTCCTTGGGAAAAGGGATAGTGACAAAGACTAGTAGAATGTTACCCTAGCTTTAAGCACAGGGCAGGGCACATAGCCTGCAGTCTATAAATATTTGCTTCATTTATAAACGAAGAATGCACAAGCAGTGGGACATAAGCGCAATGGCAGACAGACTGGAGCAAGGTCAGCATACTCTGCAGGTGGAGAGAAAGACTTGGAAGATAAAAGGTGAGATGATGGGGAGGTAGAAGGTCTTCTCTGCCAGCTTAACCAAAGTCCAGGAAGCTGGACTTTGACACTAGAAGCCAGGAAAAATAGGTGGAGGGAAGGAGGGTGCAGCCAGGATCAGGGGCAGTCAGGGAGAAGCAATGCGAGATACGAAGATAGGCAGAACAAAGGGCTCTCTGGCATAGAACAAATCCTTAATGAACATGTGCTGAATGAGTGCACTCTGGCTGAAGAGAGAGCAATCAAAATTGAGCTTCTACCAAGTGGAGGCCTGGAGAACTGTCTTGCTGGAGCTCCTGATCAGAGTGCCCCAGTTCAGCTCTCTCACTCACTCCCCTGATTTAGCAGCTGGCCATTCTTCACCTATTTGGCCTCCATAATTTCAACCCCAACTTAAGACTTACTCTGAATTCTTTTCCTTGTACCACCCCTACTTTTTCCTCAATACAGGATCTCATCCCATTCCAAAAGCTCTGTGTCAAGCATCCCTACCCTATCCTGGTATGAGGAGCCAGGGTCCAGGGGGCTGAGCAACAGCTTTAAGTCTGTGTGACTCAGCTTGTATTTAGGGCCTAAGGGGTTAGGATGTCCACCTTGTCCTTGACCTCATTTTTTCTCCACCACATGCAACCCCTATGCTTCTCTCAGCACCCTCAGTATTCACTCTGACCCACGGCTTTCTGGATAGAGTTGGACTGCCTCAGTTTCAGAAGCAGCTTCTTCTGGGACAGGCCACCCATAGACACTAGTAAAGGAGTCAGATGCCCAAGCAGCACCAGGCTCCTCCCATTACCCAGGGCTGAGGTTAGCTAAATGGCCTCCACACCAGTCCCACAGCACTGACTGGGGAAGTGAAGAGTCCCTTACTTTAGAAGCTGTCAGGGATGAGTTTCCCAACTTTTATGCATCCCTCCCTAGCTCTGTGTTTATGTGTGGACTGACTCAGTATGACCTCAGGGTGATGCCTTCTGTCCTCACATCTACCTGTTCCTGTTAATAGGTATGGCCCCTCATCACTAGTCTTTGAACTCAGTGAGGATCCAGAAGGGTGTTTTAGTCCAGGATAAGCTCTGGGGTATCTGTAACCTTTGGGTCAGGAGGAGAAGCCAGAGAATACCAACAGTTCTGTGGCAGTGCCTCTCTAGTCAAAAGTCATCTTTAGGGGCCTGGGGATGTAGCTCAATGGTAGACTGCATGCACTCTACCACTGAGCCATGTCCCCAAGCCCTCCTCTGCTGCTTTTTGTGAGACAGGGTCACACTATGTTGCCCACGTTGGCTCTGAACTCCTAGGTTCAGGCGATTCTCCTGTCTCAGCCTTTTGAGTAGCTGCGACACAGGTACACACCACCTCACCCAGCTCCATCTTTGCTTTTTATATCAGGAGTTGTCTATCCCAGAATAGAGTGAACCTCTCATCAACCTCTCAGGGTCAACAACAGGTAGGCTCTCACCTACTCCCTGGAGCTAAAGCTTGGGGAAAGAAACAGATGGGTGCTGGGACTGTGACACCATGTGCCTAAATAAGGTACCTCAGCTGCTCAGGAGAATCTGGGGTTGGGAGCCACCCCCTCTCAAATAAAACACTGTCAGTACCACAGCACCCAGACTATCCTTTTCTACCTTGCCACAAAGTATAGCTAATCCCAAAGGGACGTCTTTGGGAAAGAGGGAGTGCATTGGAGAGAGCCTTAAATGGGAAAGGCTGACTGCAAGACCAAATGTTCTTACATTTTCCTGCTGGAAAGACAAAAAACTGGAGAAGAGTATTACAAAGGGATATGACTTGTTCTCATCCTCCAAAACCACAAGCCTAAAACATGCTGGGGACAAGTGTCACTTGACTGGGACCAGGAGCCCACCTTCTTCCCTACCCTTTCCCACTTCTGTGGGAAGTCCTGAACAGGAAAAACGTGAAGCCCAAGGCATTGAAGACAATGGCATCTACTCACCTCAAGCCCATGCCGAAATGCTTTATCACGTTGCTTAGGGAGACATTGTTAGCTTGAAAGGGTTTCCTCTTCTCTGCAAACTCGTGAGCCAGGCAGATGCGCCAGCCAAAGGGAGGCACCTGGTAGCCCCTAGCTTTACCCTCATAGGAAGCCATCAGCTGCTCAGAGTCCCCTGGATGACAGTAGCCTGGCTCATTTTGGAGTCGACGGTCCACAGGGCACTCGCAGTCTGTATCCTGCACAACATCAGTGTCTGCAGTATCTTCAGGACAATAAACCTGTGGCTCCCCTCTGGCACAGTTGATCTGATCCGAAGCTGGGACTCCAGTTCCCATGTTCCCTGGATCCTGGGTCCCCACGACCTCGATGGCCCCGGGTCCCAAGCCCTCTGACACAAAGTATCTCGCCAGCCAAGTCCAACTGCGGGTGCCGGTTATACTTAGGTGCCGTCCCGGCGGGCCCGGTGCTGGGGAAAACTGAGATGAGCTGGTGTCTCGGTACAACCAGGGAGCTCTTGCTGCAGCGGAGGCGGCGACAGCAATAGAGCCGCCTCAGGCTCCTCTATCGTCGTGTGTCTAGATCCTGGGCGGGAAGGGTCGGGCCCCTTCGTCATTGGGCCGAGGTGACTAGTTCGCCTGGCCGAAGGCCGACTGTCCCGGCGGAGAGGGGAGGAGTCCCGGAACCTGCCCTCAAGGCCCCGCCCCCGGCCCGCAAGGCCCCGCCCCCGGGCCAGCCCGGGAGCGCGCGCCGACCTCGGCCCCGCCCCTGGGCTGCGGCACCAGGCCCCCATCCAGCGCTGGGCGCCGGGTCCCGCCGGCCGGGATCCCGGGGCAGCGCCCACGCCCAGGCGCCAGCCCGTGGGAAGGTGACCCACAGCCCCGGGAAGACCCGACCCTCTTCCGGTCCAGCCAGTCGGGTGCTTCCGGCCGGAAGGGGCTCCTCGGTGGGGCGAGGTAGAGAATTAAAGGAAGTCCCGCCTCTGCCGCGCCACCGACGCCTCGTTCGCGCGGCCCACCTGGCCCAGTCCTGAAGGGGCGGGCAGGTGAGGGCCTTGATACTCTGAGACCTCCTCACCTCTCCCCCGGGTTCTGACCGTGCGAGGTGACTGACAGGCGGCGGTGGTACTGGGCTGGGACGTGGAGCCTTGAGGGAAGCGGGGGCGGAGGCCAGCTGGGAGCCCCGGGGGACGTAGGGGACCAACCTGGCGCCGAGGGGAGTTGGGGGGTCTGGGGCCGAGTCTACACACTCTCATCCGTCTGCTTGCTCCTCAACCCTCCGCCACCGAAGTGTTGACTGCCACTTTCCTGAGCCTTAAAAAGAAAACACCTCTTGGTCTCTGGGACCCAGTTCTAGGTATACCCCCAGGTGCTCACCTCAGACACCCCTTCCTCCTTTCTTGTTTGCTGACCCCCGACCCCCTGTGTTTCCGATTAGATCCGATTCCAGAGCTGCCATGATTGAAGTGGTAGCTGAGCTGAGCCGGGGTCCCGTATTTCTGGCGGGGGAGGCGCTGGAGTGTGTAGTGACGGTCACCAACCCTCTGCCCCCTACGGCCACTTCTGCATCCAGGTAGGGATGCTGGTACTGAAGGTGCTGGCCCTTCTGGAAGGAAGCCTGATATCTCTGATGCTAAGCCAGAGCTCAGGTTTTTCTCTAGCTACAACAGCAACCACCACCACCTTGCTTATTGTGCTCCCATTATAGAAAAGGGCTGTTTAACAGAAGATGTGGATGACATAGCCCTACACGCTCATTTTCTTCCCACCTCACGTCTCATTCCCTTTTGTACCCATGGTATAATTCTCTTTGCTTAATGGTTTCTCTTTGGGGTTCTGGGTTTCCTGATCATTAGGACACCCACCTAATTTTGTTGGTCTTATCAGACAATGTGGTAGAGACATCGGGAAAGCATTTGTGAGGTCAAGAACTACCCCCTGATGCTTCCTTTTCCTCTTCCCTCAGTGAGGCTCTGGCCTGGGCCAGTGCCCAGATCCACTGCCAGTTCCATGCCAGCGAGAGTCGTGTAGCACTGCCCCCCCCTGACTCTAATCAGCCAGATGTCCAGCCTGACAGCCAGACTGTCTTTCTGCCACACCGAGGTTAGAGATGGGTCATTTGTTTTGGAAGGGGGGGGGGTGGAGTTATTGTCACAAGGGTTAAGTTAAATTCTAGTATGTCATGGTCCCTGTTCCATGGAGATGTGGGGGAAGGTAACGATTGCTTTGGGGCTATAAGACTGTGTTCCCATATCACAACAGGAAGAGAAGAGTTAGCAGTCTTTCATTGCCTCCACTTGCTGGTCTAATCTGAACAGGGCTGGACATCAGAGTCATTAAATTGCAGTCTTTCTCGCCTTTTGTAGGTGAGAGGGGTCAGTGTATTCTTTCTACTCCACCAAAAATTCTGTTTTGTGACCTGAGGCTAGACCCTGGAGAATCCAAATCATGTGAGTGACTGTCCCCAGCCCTGAAATGCCTTCTAAGTCTCTTGGAGGGAGGACTTCCCTAGCTTCCTCTGGCTGCCCTGACTACTGCTTCCCAACCAGACTCCTACAGTGAAGTGCTGCCCATAGAGGGACCACCCTCCTTTCGGGGTCAGTCAGTCAAGTATGTCTACAAACTGACCATTGGCTGCCAGCGTGTCAACTCACCCATCACTTTACTCAGGGTCCCTTTGAGGGTTCTTGTGCTGACTGGTAAGTAGGGGTCCTGGAGGTAGGGGCTGTAGTAGAGGCTTGCCAAGGCAGAAATAGTCTAAGGGCTTTCAGGAGGGGCTGCAGGAATGCTTTCTGGTCTTAGGGAAGGTGCTAAGGAGTTGGGGGAGGGGCGAGTGTTCTAGAGACTAAGCTGTAGTCTAAACCCTAACTCTTATCCCTCCCAGTATTACCTTTCCTCTCATTTTCTAGGCCTTCAGGATGTCCGCTTTCCCCAGGATGAGGCTGTAGCCCCATCCAGTCCGTTCTTGGAGGAGGATGAAGGTGGGAAGAAGGACTCTTGGCTAGCTGAGCTGGCTGGGGAGCGCCTCATGGCTGCCACATCCTGCCGCAGCCTCCGTGAGAATTCTTTCAGAAATGCCCTACCCCGTCCCTCCCTTCAAAGTGTTTCTGCCTCAGTTTCCCAACTACCACATACTTTGGTGAACCAACTAATGTCTCACCTAATTCTAAAGAAGAATCCCACCTGTTGGCCTCTGGGTCCCAGTCTTAGACATTCGCAAGTAGAGACTCCAGGTTTACAATGTTTCATTCTTCCCAGATCTATATAATATCAGTGATGGCCGAGGGAAAGTTGGGACATTTGGCATCTTCAAATCTGTGTACAGACTCGGCGAGGACGTGGTGGGGACCTTAAACTTAGGGGAAGGAACTGTAGCTTGTTTGCAGGTAAGAAGGGAACAGAGCTGCTGGGCATAAAGAGCTAGGATGGAAGAAGGTCCTGAATAGAGTATAGGGATACCCTCTCACCTACCGTCTGCACTTCCAAATGCACCATCTTTTCCTGCTCCCAGTTTTCAGTAAGCTTGCAGACTGAGGAACGTGTACAGCCTGAATATCAGCGGCGCCGTGGGGCAGGGGGTGCCCCCTCTGTTTCCCATGTGACTCATGCCCGGCACCAGGAGTCTTGCCTACACACAACCAGAACCAGCTTCTCTCTCCCCATCCCTCTCAGTTCTACCCCAGGCTTCTGCACTGCCATTGGTGAGCCCCTAACTGTTACGAGAAGGGAGTAGGGGAAGTTGAATGCTATGCTTAGGTAGTATGTGATGGGGTTTTACTCCTAACCTACTCCTAGACATACCCAAATGTAGTCTCTGACCTTTCACATTTTCTCAGATCTTCAGCCTCTACCCATTTCTTAGATGCACTGACCCTAAACTCTTAACAGCTTTGTAGAACTGGCACCCTACCCCTACTTAATGGGACCCTGTAATGCACTGATCTTATTCCTCAGCACATTTATTTCAAGCTAACTAGTCTTACTGTCCCACTCTTGGTTTACTAGGTGGTTAACACTCCTAACCTGGATTTACATCTCTGGTTAACATACTAGACTTCTTTTTTTAAATGTTCTTGATCATAGCTCCTGACCTGTGACTCCTCCTCTTCCTAGATTGTTGTTTTTCCTTCTCATTCACTAACCACATCCTGCCATTGGCTTCTACTCCTACTTAATTCGTTTTTTTTTTTTTTTTTTTACGGTGCTGGGGTTTGAACTCAGGGCCCACACCTTGAGCCACTCTACTAGCCCTCTTTTGTGATGGTGTTTTTGAGATAGGGTCTCGCTAACTATTTGCCTGGGCTGGCTTCTAACTGTGATCCTCCTGATCTCTGCCTCCTGAGTAGCTAGGATTACCGGTGCCTGGTTTCATACTTGTTTTTTTGTTGTTGTTGTTGTGGTTTTTGGTTTTTTTCTTGGTTAACTGGAGTTTGAACTTAGGACCTTGTGCTTGCTAGGCAAGTACTCTGACATTTGAGTCACACCTTCAGCTCTTTTTGCTTTAAGTTACTTTTTAGATAGGGTATCACTTTTTGACTGGGCCAGCCTGGGACTCTGATCCTCCTATCTAGTCCTCCCACAGTTAGGATTATAGCATTATAACACCATACCCAGCTTACTTGTTGAGATGGGGGTTTTGCCAGCCTCAAACTGAGATCTTCCCAATCTCTGCCTCCCAAGTAGGTAGGATAGCAGGCATAAGTCACTACATTAGACAAACTTACTTCTAATGACTCTACCTTTGTCTTTTTCTTTCATAGTGTCCCTGAAGTGGCGATTGCATTTTGAATTCGTAACATCTGGAGAACCAGAATTGGCACTCCTGCCCCCTATGGAACAGCCTGAAACTGCCACCTGGACAGGCCCTGAGCAAGTGCCAGTAGATACCTTCAGCTGGGACCTCCCCATCAAGGTGCTGCCTACAAGTCCCACCCTGGCCTCATATGCTGCCCTAGGCCCCAGCACCAGCACCATAACCATCTGAAACTGGCCCACCTGCCCACTGTGGCAGTAGGTTCTTCAGATACTGAGAACTCAGCACCTGGACTCTACTGGGGCCCACTTTTCCTACCTGGGGCCCAATGGCAAAGACAATGAGAGGCTGGCTTTCTGCTATAGCATTTATTTATTCAGAATAAATTGGCAGCTGCTAGTGGTTTCCCTGGAAGTGGCAGCAGCAGTGAGCAGTCAGCAGATGGATGATCAGTTGAGTTTAGCTGGAGTGGGGAGCAGGAGCCCCAGAAACAGGGGTGTTAGCTGAGCCCCACTCTAGGTCAGACCCCCTTCCTTTGCAGGGCAGCCGAGGGTCAGATTTTTGCACCAGGGAAAATTGGCAGGTTCCTGCCTCCTGATGAATCTCACACTCAGCAGGGAAGTCGATGGGATGCTGAGATCTGGGGAATCAAGCATGGGGAAAGAGCACAATGAAAAGCCACCTTTATGGCTCCCCATTCCCTCTCATAGCCATCCTTCTATATCCTCCTTTAGTGTCACCTGGTTCTCCTAACTCAGCCCCCATATAAGGACTTTTTTGTTGTATAGCAGAAGTAGTTTCCCTATAGACCCACCTCAGCATCCCTCACTTTGTGGTCTGAAGCCTTATCTTTCTCACTCTTGTTAGTACCAGTCTCACTCTCTGGCCAGTCTCATCTACTCTTCTGTTCATTCTTACTTCACAGCAACTTAGTCACTCCCTGGCCATCCCCCAGTTACACACATCACAGGCATTCCGTCGGGACGTTCATGGTAACTCACGTGTCACAGCAGCCCACACCGACGGGATGCAGACAGGTGCAATGGAAACAGTCCTTGCGGAGCCAAGACTCACCCAGGGTGAAATATTTCCCCTCATAGTGACAGGGGGCTAGGAAGGATGAGAAATGTTAGTGGGTATAGAAGTGGTGGCAGCAATCTCTTCTAGTCTGGGGTGGGAGAGAGTCAGTGTACACTAATCCCCATATGTAGTGTTTCCTATTTCATGGCTGGAGGGAATCTGGATATTCTGACCCAGGGTTACTCTGAGCCCTTGCCCCGATCCTCTTCCTTTCCTAACACCTGATCCCACTTTACCTTGAGCTTGGAAGTAGCACTTGCTGTGGACTCCTGGGTACTGCAGAAGCAGAGACACCAACAAGCAGACGATTCCCCAGCCTCCCAGGATCTTCTTGGCCTGTCCAGCCCAGAGCATTCCTAGGGCCATTCCTGCAGCTCAGTCCTCTTGGACCCTTCTTGGATTCTGTTCTTCTCTGGTCTTGTCCCCTTGGCTTTGCTTTGCTCCTTAAGTCTTAGTGTTTCTTTCTCCTTGGGATCCTGTCACACCATCTCTGTGCCCTCTCCTCTCACAGGCTGGGGATGTTTATAAAGTGAGGACCCTGGCCCCCTGCTGAGTAGAGCTGGAAAAGCTGTAATTCTGTTTCCTGAGGTGAGGGCATGAAAACAAGAGGTTCAGCTTTTAACAAGCTGTGAGAGCTGATTCATGCCCCCGCACAGCTAGAGGGAGGGAGGTGGCCGTGGAAGGGGCACTGAACTGGGCATTTCCCAGCAAAGAGGTGGGAGGGGTGAGGCTCCAGGTGGTCCCCAGATCTCCTCCTTGACCTGGAGAGAGGAAGCATTCCACCAGCCCTTCTTCCTCCCTGCCCCACTACCACCACCAGCAGTGTGTGCTGGGATCCCTGCCTGGACCGGAGGAAGGCATTTCCTGGGGATGGTTAATCCTGTGCCACAGCCAAACCAAGGAGTTACAGCAGGGTGCAGCAGCCAGAGGCTCCAGGAGAGCAAGCAGGCATCTGGAGTAGAGAGTATATTTCTCTCAGACCTTGGGCAGGGTTTCCCTGATACAGCTGAGAAATAGAATTAACCTCAGAGATTGGGGGGAACCTCACTTTTTCTCAGGTATCCCAGAGATGAGCATATAGAAGAGTGCTTGCTTCAGCAGCACACATACTAAAATTGGAATGATACAGAGAAGATTAGCATGGCCCCTGTGGAAGGATGACATGCAAACTCGTGAAGCATTACATTAAAAAAAATGCAGAAGATGCAAGATTGCTCCATCTCTGGGGATGCTTTCAAAGAGAAGCATCTCCAAGCATCTTAGCAGGATGAATCAGGCCAGTTTCACAGGGGTGCTCCTTCTTTCCTGTTGATGGAATGAATCTTCAAGAATTTATCCTTTGGCATCTTCCTTTAAGTTTCCTGCAGGTTCTGGAGGACCCAGGATGGGTGATTGAGAGCATAGGCTGTAGGGACAGACTACTGGGATTCAGATCCTGACTCTATTTACTATGTGACCTTGGGCAAGTTACTTCACCTCTCTCATCCTGTTTCCTCAACTATAAATCCAGAATAGTAATGCCACCTCACAGAGTTGTTATGAGATAGCACATCATATACTCTTAGCACTGTCTTTGGCACATGGCCTTCAGAAAAGATTAGCCATGATTGGTGCTAAAGCTTGGAGACACAATGGGTGACATTCTTTTCTCTGAATGACATTGATTGAGCAAGCATGTCTATATGCACAGCTGCAGGCTTCAGTTAGGGACTGTTCTCTCCTGACCAACTTCTGACCCTTTTAGATTCATGCTCCATGTCATCCCTACCACCTCCTTCAAAAACAGATGCCTGTTTTGGGGAGGGAAACATTTTGGTTTGGGTCCTTGTATTCTTGAATTCTGTACGTCTGGTTTAAGAAACAACACTGATAAAGCTGCTTTCCCCATGTCAGTATCCCCACCTCCACCCTGAGAAGGGGTATCATTTTCTCATCCTCCTTCCAGCTAACTTTAGGACTTGTGCTTTTCCTTATAAAGATTCTTTGTTTTTTCCTCTATCCCCACTCATATGAACTCTCAAGTTCTCCTTTCTGACCACTGTACTGCTAGCCATGTACTTGGTACTGGCCTGGTCAAATTGGCTTTCTTAGGCTTTTCTACATTTCAAAGGCCCAGCTATTTCCATACCACCTACAGGACATTTACTGTTTTTTTCCTTCTAAGTCTCTAGTCCCATTTACTCCAAGACTTGCTCCCTATCACATAGTGTGTCAAATACAACTACTTCTTGCAGACTTTCAGAGGGCCACTCTGCCTGTCACCTCTACTCAGAAAAACCTGTCAGTGCACCTGGAACTCCCTAGCTATCCTCTTCCAAGATACTTTTTCTCTGGCAGATGATGTAGTTCAGTAGGAGAATGCTTGCCTAGCATGTTTGAGACCCTGAATTTGATCTCCAGCACCACAAAACAACAAGAAAAAACTAACAAAAGTCCACCAAAAAAAAGAAACAACAACAAAAAAACAAGATACCCTTTCCCTTTCAGAGGAGTGCCAAGAAAAAAATGAAAACTCACAGCTGCAGCAGGGTACAGTAGGCTGCTGTGTGGGAGGCATGGCCTTGACCATTCTCTTAACTGGAGGTGTGTGGAGAGGGCATTAAAAGGCCTATCTAGAACAAGGGCCTGTAAGTCTTGTTAGCCGTCAGTAGCTGCCTTGAGGTGGTGGTGGTGTGTGGGGGGGAACCACCTGACACGCAGACGCCTTGCCGTGTAGTACCTTCTGCTCCTGCAACCTGGGGCCAAGGCCATAGGGAGCGGCTGTGGGTGGGGAAGTAGGGAGCATGGAGGTGCTGATGATGCGCAAAGATGGAGGGGCCCCCGTGGGCATTGGTGTGTGAGGCTTAGCTGCCTGGAATGGAGATGGGGTAGGCAAATATTGGGTATGGGGGGGATGTTTTGGAAAGAAGTTGCGTTGAGCAGGATCTCCCTCCCAGAAGCTGGGGTGGGGAGCAGAACGAAGGTGTTGATGTGTGCGCGTGTACCGCTGTCAATGGTTAGGACCCAGTCCTCTGAGTCCGTGGGAAGCGACCGTTCGGGGGCGCGGTAGTTGGCTCGCACTGCCCGCGCAGGGACAAGGAAAACATCCGCCGGAGGCCCGGCCGGGAGGCGCGGCCTGCACCGGCAGGTGCGCGGGGTGAGGAAGTGAGCACATTCCGGCCCGGCCGGCTGCCCTGCGGTGAGTCACCGCAGACCCTCGCCCGCCTCACAGGCAGGAGCCAGAGAGCAAGGCTTTTGGGGATCGCAGAACCGGGGCCTTGGGGCCGGAACCCAGGAGAGTTTTTTGTTTTGTTTTTGTTTTTGTTTTGTGGGCGGGGGGGCGATTTTGACTGAAGTACCAGGAAGGAAACGCCAGATCGGGCCTCTGGAACCCATCAGAGATGAGGTCTGCCCAGAGGCTGTGTAGACAGTGAAGGGTTGGTTTTAGAGAGTCTTTCGGTTGTGGCTCAATCATCAAAAGCTTTCTTTTCTTTTTTCTTTTTGGAGGCATTGGAGTTTAAACTCAGGGCCTCATGCTTGCTGGGCAGGCTCTCTACCACTTGAGCCACTCCAGCAGCCCTCATCAAAGGTTTTTCAATGCTGGGATGAGAAATGTTGGTTTGGCATCGGAAGTAGAATGGGAACCTTGTTCTCTGACAGAACAGTAGTGGGTGGTGTAAGAGAGAGGTTATCTGTGTCTGCCATTACTGTCTACATCCAGTATTTGCAACAACAAAAAAGCACTGATCTGCTCATCGTTATAGTATTTTTAAATTGCATGATTATATCTATCACTGTTTAAGTAATTCCGATTTTTTTTTTCAGTATTGGGGTTTGAACTCAGGGTCTCACACTTGCTAGGCAGGTGCTCTACTACTTAAGCCACTCTCTCCAGCCCTTGTTGGGTTTTTAAAACAAAAAACTTGAATAAAAATTTTAAAGTTGAAAAATGTGATTCAATATACAATTTAAAAACCTAAGCCCAGCACCGGTGGCTCACTTCTATAATCCTAGCTACTCAGGAGACAGAGATCAGGAGGATCCTGCTTCCAGGCCACCCTGGGCAAATAGTTCTCCAGACCCTATCTAAAAAAAACCCATCACAAAAAAGGGCTAGTGAAGTGGCTCAAGGTGTAGGCCCTGAGTTCAAACCACAATACTGCAAAAAAACAAAACTTAAGCTCAGCCAGGTACCGGTGGCTCAAACCTGTAATCTTGAGAGGAGGTGGGGTGTGAGGGGGAGTTGTAAGATGCCCCTCCATCTCTAAAATAACCACAACAAAGTGGACTGGAGGGGTGTCTCAAGCAGTAGAGTGCCTGTTTGAGCCCTGAGTTCAAACCCAGTCCCATTAAAAAACAAAACAAAACCTAAACTCTGGCTACTAAGATGTGTCAGTTTCCCCTCATTGACTGCATTGAATTCTGTGGTGTCAGTGTCTGTTTCTGCTTCACCTCTCCTTCATCTTACTATTTTTAACTTTAACTTTTCCCTGACTAGTCCTTCTACCTGCCCTGTGTATCCTGAACCCAGTAAAACATTTCTTGGAATGGGCATTAAGGTTACAGTAAACAGACAAGTAATTCACAATTCTATTATGTTTATTAAGTTACTGTCTTATGTGGATGGGTGTGTAACTAATGCAGTTTCTAAAGATAAAGCTATGTAATTCATGATGGTATTTCCATAGCAACTTATTAGTTTGATTGTTAAAATGATATTTGATGGCTGGCAGAGTGGCTCAAGTGGTAGAGCACCTACTTAGCAAGCGTGAGGCCCTGAGTTCAAACCCCAGTACCAAAAAAAGAGATATTTGATACTTGCCTCAGAGACTGACACTAATTCTTTTATGATTTTTATCATTTGCACTAACTTGGGTGAAAGGCAATTGCAAGGATTGGGATCTTTATGATTTATTTTAAAGATCCTTAAACTTTTCAGTTATCTTTGGTCCCAAACAAGAAAATCTGGGTCAGTTAATTAAAAAGGAGAAAAGAAAATTTCCTATTTTGGGCCCTGTTGCTTTCTCCCATGCTGTTTCAGCCCAGCCCTGCCTTACTCCCAGTGGCCTTTCCCTTCATTCCGTCTTTGCTCTGCTGGGCATCTTTAGAGGAAAACTTCACACTAACTTCCTCTGCTATAAATTCTCTCCTTCCTCTCATCTCTATACTTCTTTCTGCCAACATACACCACTACTTCTTCACTTTTTTTTTTAAAAGCCCACAGCCCTTTCTGGATCTTTTCCATCTTTAACACTCTCTTGTTGAAATTCTCTTTTTCTTTGATGAGCCCTCAGGCTTTTCAAAGGCTAGGTTTCAAGTATTTATTCTGCACGGTCCACTTCTGCCTTCCTTCCTCTTCTATCATCTTTTTTCTTATTCCAGACTGTTTCTAAATTCTGTTATGCTTGCTTTCACCAAAGCCATAACCTTTTCTTCCTCTAGACACAGTAAAAGATGCTTATGGCTCCATTATTTTTCCTGTTCAAAAAAGTTCTGAAAATCACATCTCTTTCTGTCTCTTTTCCCAGCATTTGTGTGTCCAGAAAGACGACATCGCCATTCTTAGAAAGTTTATTGAGTGTCAATTTAAGTTTCATGTTGGGCTGGGCACTGAATAGTGAATTTCATAATCCTAGTATCAGAGTCCTAAATGCTTACAGACAAAAGATGCTATCACGGATGTGTGCATGAATTGTCATGAACTCTCTCTCTCTCTCTCTCTCTGTCTCTGTCTCTCTCACACACACAGATAATAGAACCATAAGCCACCATATGAATATATATTCATGAGTATATTCAGTACATTACATTATAATCAAGCAAAAATACATTTTGGGGTGGAAGGTGTAAATTAGTAAATTCATAGTTAGGATAGAAATTTTAACCAGTTCAAACTGGAGAAGGGTAAGAGGAGTAAGATGAAGATACTTCCTGAAGGAAGCTGAGTTGGGAGTTGAAAAAATTGACCTAAAGCTATGATGAATGACAGGAGCATGGGTAGAGGGCCAGAGTTCCAATCATATATATTTGCTGGACTCCAAAAGCCCATATATCTTTATTTAGAGAATAGAAAAGATTCCTGTGTTCTTACTCCAACTATACTTAACTTTCTATTAATAACACATATTGAAGTTTTTCATCCCTGTCTCTGTACCATTGGAACCATTCTTACCAAATATTTTTTCTGCTTACAAATCATACATTTGTGATAGCCCCCACCACCAATAATTAATTCCCATTTTGCCACCATTAATTGTTGCTAAATTCCCTATTTACTGATATACTTTAATATTTTTTTGATAGTACTGGAGTTTAAACTCAGGGTCTTGCACTTGCCATACCATTTGAGCCACACCTCCAGCCCCATGCTTTAATTTTTCCAGGTTGATCCACAATCTACTTGTGGTAGTAGTAACTTAAAATTCCATTTATGACTCTTGCCTTTATCTTATTTCTTAAATAATAAACTTAAAACTAGAGACTTTGAAGAGCATTAGTTTTTGTTTTACCCAAAGCAAGATTTATAATTCTACTTATCTCAGATACACTCTGCTGGGCCATCTACTGAATGGAATTGGTCACCTCCTGAGGTCACCTACTGTTGTCTAGCTTTAGTTTCTAGAGAGCTGTGGTGTTGTAGTCTGTTCTTACTCATCTATTTTTCCCCTTAATTCTGCTCTTTGAAATAATATGGCAGAAGTCTTTTTTCCATGTAGCTGCTCTTTAAAGATTTGAAAAGCTATTTGTTTAAGCTTTCTCTTTAACTCTGTCCAATAGAGCTTTCTGTGACAGTGGAAATGTTATCTTTCAGTAGCCATTAGCTAGCTACATGTGGACTGAGCACTTGCATTATGGTTAGTGAGACCGAGAAACTGAATTTTAGATTTTATTTTATTTTAATTTAAATCCAACTAGCAAGATGAGGCAAGTGGCCACTGTGTTAGTGCAACTCTGAACTCTTTGGGAGTTAGTGTCTTCTCACATGGCTGCCTTCTTGACTGCTTCAGAAATCTTATCAAACATGGTAGAGGCTGTAGCTCAGTGGTAGAGCACTTGCCTGGCATGTGCAGGGTCCTGGGTTAGATCCTTAGATCTGCAAAACAAACAGGAAAGCATAGTAAAACATGTAACGATGCTCTTGGATCTGTCTGGAGACCAGGCTCACATTAAGCAACTGAGAAAAAGCTCAAACCCAACTCCCAAAGCCCTGAACAGTAATGTCAGTTTTTTACTGAAGGTTTCTTAGAAGGGAAAATGAGGTTATATTTCACATCTCATATCCTCAAAGCAGAACTTAAAATGTCCTCATCGAATCTATTGCTTTCCCTAAAGTTCCATTCCCTAGTGGCTCCCATAGTGGCTACCAAATCTCTCCCTTTTCTTTCCTCCTCTTTCAGCCTTACCCATCCATTTTCTTTTGAGAACCGCCATCTACCTTCTTCACCTTTAAGGGAAGTTTTTAGATGTGCTCTTCACTTTCCCTTCTTTTTCATCATCTATGCTCAGTAAAGCCAATTGGCATTTTTGGTACCCACCTCCTTGGGGGTGGTTAAGGACTACAGGATGATAACTACACATAATTCCTAACCTGCTTCTAGAAGTTTTCTCATCTTCTTATCTTTACTGGAGATTATTTAAGCATTCTTTTGCAGATATTGCTAATGGCCTCTTTTCATTCTAGATCTATACTTGGACACATCCTAAAATTACTTCTATACATAGTTCTTTTGTCTATTTTCTTTGTTTTTGATTTTCATTTTTTGCCTCTATGTTTTGTTTATTTGTTTTTTGTTTTGTTTGGAGTTCTGGGGTCTGAACTGAGGGCCTCACATTTGCTAGCAGGTGATCTACCACTTGAGCCACTCTGCCAGCCTTGTGTGTGTGTGTGTGTGTGTGTGTGTGTGTGTGTGTGTGTGTGTTGGTATTTTAAGATAGGGTCTCTTGAATTATTTGCCTTGAACTTCAAACCTCTATCCTCCTGATCTCTCTTTCCTGAGTAGCTAGGATTACAGGTGTGAGCCACTGGTGCCCAGTCCCTATGTTATTTTTTGTAGACTTGTCATCTCTTTATTAGTCTTCTGGACATAAATATGCCATATCCACTGAGGGAGTAGCGTTCATTTCCTACTCCTATCACTTAGTGTCTCCATCCTTTGATTCTCTTTTAGGCTCACCATCTCTGTCCATACTCCTCTTTATTGTCTGTTTTTCTTATCTCCTTCTTTTGGTAAAATTCACTGTTAAAAAATACTTTCTGGGGTCTCAGTTTTTTGTTTTGTTTTGTTTTGGTTTTGGTACTGGGGCCTATACCTTGAGCCACTCCACCAGCCTGTTTTTGTGATGGGCTTTTTCAAGATAGGGTCTGATAAACTATTTGCCCAGGCTAGCTTCGAACCACCATTCTCCTGATCTCTGCCTCCTAAGTAGCTAGGATTATAGGCATGAGCCACCAGCACCTAGCTTCAAAATCTTTCTATCTCATAAGTATCTGTACTGTGACCTAAAGCTCTATATAGCATTGATTTCCTGTGGGTTGGCACTGATGGGGTTGTGGGGGACAGAATATCCTCTCGTGCACAGAGTTTGTCAGTCTTGGCACTGTTCATGAATTTAGTGGATAATCATTTGTTGTCGGAACCTGTCCTGTACATTGTAGGGTGCTTAGCAGCTGTTCACTAGATGCTATTATACCCTCTCACTTGTGACAACCAAAAAATGTCTCCAGACCTTGCCCAGTGTTCTGTTGGACAAAGTTTTCCCCCATCCAATGTTGAGAACTATTGTGCTAGAATATTGGCTTCCTGAAATTAATTAGATTATTCTACTTTTTCTCTCCAACTGCTGATTTATTTGCTTAACTTGGGCTTTGAAAGTGGGTCTTTCCCTTAC